ATGGACCTTTGGTCCTCCATATTTCCTTGTTCCATTCAAGGTGAAAGTGAGCTAAATTTCTAGCTATAGCCATTAAAAACACAAAATTAAGTTCCAGGTGGCAGGCTTAATGGTTCAACATCTGGATTCCCAAAATAGGTATAGAGGGGACTGGAGAGGTGTCCCTAGTTAAGTGGTCTTGTATTCTGGAATTTCTTAAATTCTCTGGATTTTGAGTGTAGTTCTGGCATTGACTTAAACCTGGAGACAAGTAATTTAGTGTTTCTGCAGGCTGTTCTCATGTGGGTTAGTGTCCTTGTCTGTGTGTGTATGAGGTTAATGTTTGGTGTGTGCCTAACACAGTACAAATAGTTGAAGTCCTGAGAGGTGGCGAGGACTACTTGTCTTTGCTACCTGCTATCTGGAGTTAGCAGAGGATGTTTCAAAGAGGAAGCATGTTCTTAACACACCTTCAGGTGAAGTTACATTTGTATGGGCAGAAGACTGAAGAATGGGATGTCAGGGGAGAGAGCTGCCTGACAATGTCCAGCCTAGGATGTTTGTGAGACAGTGAAGAGAGGAACTCACCCAAGTCGCCCTGTGCATGGGCCACATCACACCTTTAGGTGGATGGGGTAAGGCCATGGAGTAGCAAAAGAGTGACAATTCAGTTTATCTTGTGTATTATTTTTGAGAAAAAAAAAAAAAGGCAATCTGAATAGGAAGTCAGTCCTCACAGAGAAAGGTTGAGCATCCTCCCAACTAAAACATTTGGACTGGCTGGCACAGTGGCTCATGTCTGTAATCCCAGCACTTTGAGAGAGCACTTTGAGAGGTCGAGGTGGGTGGATCACCTGATGAGATCAGGAGTTCGAAACCCGCCTGACCAACACAGTAAAACCCGTCTCTACTAAAAATACACACACACGTACAAAAAATTAACTGGGTCTGGGGGCAGGTGCCTGCCTGTAATCCCAGCTACTCAGGAGGCTGAGACAGGAGAATCACTTGAATCCAGGAGGCAGAGGTTGCAGTGAGCGAAGATCACACCATTGCACTCCAGCCTGGGCGACGAGAGTGAAACTCTGTCCCAAAAACAAACAAACAAACAAAAAGTTTGGACTTATCCTTTGGTCTATTCCTTGTAAACTCTTATTGTTAATATCTTACTCTCAACATCACATAGTCTTGGATCTGCCATAATTTAAATGATGTTTCCCAAACAGATTTCCCCACGGAAAGGTCAGCTACGACTTGTCTGCCTGGTCTCTGGCTCCAGCCCCCATGTTTTAGTTCTTTACCTCCCAGTCCTTCTCTGATTAAACCTCCCCATCCTGTGTCTATCTGATCCCCCAGGGTCCCACAGGGACCTGGTTAACTCGTCTCAAATAAATGTGTGAAATGAAGATGTTAAACATCAATAATGCAAAATATACAGTTACGTGAAGAGGAAATCTGACAAAGGAAAAGATGTTCAATCTCACTAGCAATCAGAAAAATGCAAATGTGAGATAATTTTTCAGCCACCAAATGAACAAAGGTGAAAAAGAATGAAAATACCAGAGTCTGAGAGACTTTAGGGAAACGGAGTATCTCATTGGTAGCAGTGGTCAGTGACACAAGTTTTCTGGAAAACAGTTTGGTAATGTTTGCTATAAATGTAAAAATGTGCAGACATAGCAGTTCCACTTCTGAGAGTTTATCCTAAAAAATTTGTTGAGCAGGGACCAAGGATGTTCAGCCTTAATTGATAATAAAGAATAATTAGGAATAATCTAAATGTCCACCAATTGAGAACTGTTCATATCAATTATGATATGTTCAGACAGTGGAATACTAGAAAGACTTCAGAATGATGTTAGTACTAATAGACATGAAAAGATATCCATTAGATATTATGCCCTTAAGGTCCTTGTGGTGCCATTAATGTAAAGTTAATGCAAGCACGGGCATGTGTGCATGTATGCACAGGGAGATCTAGAATGGCAGTTACCAAAACATCAACCCCTCCTTCTTGGAGGAGCTTCGAACGACTTTACTTTCTTCTTTTCTATTGTTCCTAAAATTGCAAACTTTATTTTTAACTTAATAGCTAACATTAGCAGAGTGTATCTTATGTGCTAGTCACTGCTCTAATTCTTGTGCACTATTATTATTACTGAAGAAATCAAAGGTGATGAGAGATTAAGTAACTTACCTGAGATTCTCAGCTAGTAAATGATAGAGCTGGTATTCAAAACCTGATAAGTGTTGCTTCATAAAATGCACTCTTTAAAAAAAAAAAAATTTAGTCAGAGTCTTACTCTGTCACCCGGGCTGGAGTGCAGTGGTGCAATCTCAGCTTGCTGCAACCTCTGACTTCCAGGCTCAAGTGATCTTCCCACCTCAGCCCCCCAAGAAACTGGGACCACAGCTGTGTGCCACCATGCCCAGCTAATTTTTTTTTGTATTTTTTGGTAGGGTCAGGGTTTAACATGTTGCCCAGGCTGGTCTCGAGCTGCTGAACTCAGGCAATCCACCCACCTGGACCTCCCAAAGTGCTGGAATCACAGTCATGAGCCACCTCATCCAGCCTAATAGACTGCACTCTTGCTACACTAATTAGTTTCAATAGAGTGAAAGTCTTAAATCCCGCCCCAACAACAAGCCTACTCCTCTGCTCAAAGTAATCATTGTTTACCATTTGACATGGATCCCTCCAAAACTTTTGCTTTCTCTAGACACGTGTGCAAACACACACAAGTGTGTTTTTCTTTTTTATAAAATGGGATGATAGTGTCTGCCCTGTCAGTATGTAAGTTCTTCGTCATATTTTTTATTTATCTCTGGGGAATATTCCACAGCATGAACATACAAAATTGATGTAATACTTCTGAAAACCTGGTCATTTCCAGTTCTTCAGCCTAACAGACAAAGCTTCATCAAGCATTCTTGTATACATATTACAGGGTGTGGCAGTGTAATTATATTCCTGTGATCGTTTCCTAGAAATGGAACCACGGGTCAAAAGGCATGCACACTGAATGTTGAAAGAGGCTGCCCACACCAGGAAGGCTGTGTCATTACACCTGCAGTAGATGAGAGGCCACATCCCACGTTTTCACTGACACAGGAAGTTGTTGATCTTTTTAACTGATGCCAGTATAAGAAATGAAGAATGTTATTTCATTTGTAGTAATTTAAAAGTTCGTGATTACTGGTAAAGTTGAGCATATTTTCACATGTGTATTGGCCATCTTCATTTCTTCTCAGAATTGTTTACTTTCTATTGGATAATTTGAGTTAATTGGATAAACTTATGAATTCAAAGGAGCATTGTTGTATTGTAAATAGTAGTCTTTCGATGCTTTCTTGTGTTGCAGATATTTTTCTCAGTAATTACTTTTCTTTGAACTTGATTTATATGTTATTTTACTATACAGAAGTTTTCATTTATTTTAGTTTTGGGTAATCAAATCTGTCCATTTTTTTTCTTTATGGTTTTATACCTTGTTTAGGAAGTCTTTCTCTACAATATTCTTCAAGAATATAAGAATACTCTCCTATAGTCTCTTCTAGTACATTTGCATTTTTGCTTATAGATTTAGTTTTATGTTTAGACTTTAATCCATGAAGAATTTAGTATTGTGTTTGGTGAAAAGTAGAGATTTAACTTTCTATTTTTAGGTTGGTTGTCTTTAAATAACTCCTTCATCAAAACCCAAATTCCGTGACTGAGCGTGGTGATTCATGCCTGTAATCCTAGCACTTTGGGAGGCCAAGATGAGCTGATCGCTTAAGCCCAAGAGTTCAAGGCCAGCCTGGGCAACATGAAGAAACCCCGTCTCTACAAAAAATACAAAAATTAGCCAGGCATAATGGCATGTGCATGTAGTCCCAGCTACTTGGGAGGCTGAGGTAGGTCGATTGCCTGAGCCCAGGTGGTCGAGGTTGCAGTGAGCTGAAATCGTGCCACTGCACTCCAACTTGGGTGAGACTCTGTCTCAAAAAAAAAAAAAAAAAAAACCTGAATTCCCATGGATATACAAGTCTGTTTCTGGACTGTTGTGCCGTTGATCCCTTGTCTATATCTGGCCTGTAATCACACTGCTTTAATTATTGAAGCTTCTCCGCAAGTTTTTATATGTGCTAAGCCATCCCCATTTCTCTTTGTTTTTGAACTTACCTCCACCATTCTGATACATTTTCTTTTTTAAGAGGATCTTTAGAATTAGATAGTCATGGTCCAAAAGTCCTCCCTTGGGATTTCAGTTGTAATAGATTGGAGCTACTCATGCATTTGTGGTTGGTTGACATCTTACAAACGGGAACTAAGGTCTCCAGCCAGGACTCCTTGCTCCCCTGGCACTCTCTGAGGCCTTTGTTCTTGCACACCTCCACTCCAGCCTATGATTCCAAGGCTTCTAGAAAGGACAGATTCCTACACATCATTGGTTTAATTCTTTCCTCCCCTGGATGGCCTGTGGATTTTTACATGAACTTTCAGAGGAAAAGAGTGAAAAGCATGCAAACCTCAGACCTTGCAGGGAAACTCAGAGAGAAATACTTTTCATCAGGGCACATTTTTTTCTGCTCTTGGCAAACCACACTGAACACTCATGTGTGAACAGCCTGGGGCAATCAGGTTCCAGTTGAGGCTTTTTAAAAAAACAGCTTTATTGTTCTAGAATAACTTAAAATTCTCTCACTGTAAGTGTACTGGTAAATGATTTTTAGTAAATGTATGGAACTATGCAACCGTCACCATAATCCAATTTTAGAATATTTCCATCACTCCCAGAAGATCCCTTGTGCCCTTGTATAGTCATTCTCTAGATGCCACTTTGTCCTTAACATGACAGCATTAGAAGTGGGGGACAAATGAGGGCATCCCCAAAAGATCCTCTGTCTGTGAGTCTAGGACCAACACTGTAACCACATACATAGCATGACCCCACATGATACCGCTTTCTTGGGGAGACCAAGATGGGGCCTCCTCCTGAGGGCCCTGGTCACACTGAGCCCCATCCTTACCCTTCCAGGTGGATAAAGTTTGAAGAAAAGGTAGAGGAAGGCGGTGAACGCTGGAGCAAGCCCCACGTGTCCACACTCTCCCTGCACAGCCTCTTCGAGCTCCGTACCTGCCTGCAGACGGGGACGGTGCTGCTGGATTTGGACAGTGGCTCCTTACCACAGATCATAGGTGAGGCAGGGGCCACTGTGTGCATCTCTCCTGTGGTCCCTTGCAAGCCAGGGCAGCTCCCCTGACCTTATGCCTGCCCTCGAGCCTGTGTGACTGGCCCATCTCTGACACCTGATTCTGAAGAGACCAGCTTTGACTCTGTTGTTCCCAGGGCAGGATCAAAGCTGCCCCAAGTTTCAGTTCCACACAGACCTCCAGCAGAGAGGAAAAGACCATCCTCCAAACTGCTATCTAGAAATGTAGCAAAAGGGGAGAGGGCCTCTTGGCATGGTCAGAGATACCTCTTGCCATGACAACCTGTTTCTTTTTAGGGTAAAATGGGTGGGTCATTATTCATCTTTAGGAAATTAGCTATCATTTAGTGGTGTGCCAAAGGGAGGAGGTAGCTTGCCTTAGCACTCCTAAAAATTTTTGTCAGTTTTGTTCCAGCACATTGGGTTTTTCCAGAAGTATTTTACCCAAAATGCTTTTCTAAAAAGAATTCATTTTAGGACTAAAACCATTGAACACAATACCTTTATGCTTCCTGGGGCAATTTCATATGGACTGTTTATTTCACTTTTCATAAGAACATTGACAGAGCAGAGTCTTACATACATACACACACATGCACACACACACACACACACACACACACACACACACACACAGACAGGCAAGCGCCCTTGAACAGGAGGCCAAGAGTTGGTGATGTGCCCAGTTTTCCACAGTTAGTGGCAAAGCCAGAAGCATTTCCACACACCCACTGACACCTGCAGCTCACATTTAATCCCACTCATAACAGGTGAAACTGAAGACCCCCACATCCTGGGGCTGTTCTGTCCACAGGGATGAAGTGCATTTGTTTTCCATGCAGATGATGTCATTGAGAAGCAGATTGAGGATGGTCTCCTGCGGCCAGAGCTCCGGGAGAGGGTCAGTTATGTCCTCCTGAGGAGGCACCGTCACCAAACCAAGAAACCCATCCACCGCTCCTTAGTGGACATTGGCAAGTCAGTCTCCACCACAAGTGAGTTGGGGCTTACACTGGTGGGCGTGGGACATGCAGGTCCAAGTATGAGGCCCTGGTATCCAGGTGAGCCCACTTTAGGGGCTGGGAGTTTCTGGAGAAATTCTGATGTTTGGGGGATCCCTCAGCCTCCTTCTCTGGCAGGCCTGCAGGGATCCCAGCCACACTCCCATGTTGTTCCCACCACCAGAGAAGAACACTTTCTAGGAAGAGAGTTGGTTCTCAGCCAGGGCTGCACATTGTAAATCACTTTGGGACTTGAGACGTGTTCTAATGCCTTGGCTCCATCCTGGAGAGTTGGAGTCTGGGGTATGGCCTAGGAAAAGAGAGAGAGGTTAGAACATACCCCAGGAGATTCCCATGTCACACAGCATTGGGAAATGCTGGTAGAGATGGCTTGCTTATGCAAAAGACACAAAAGTTTCACATCAAACTCCCTGGAGAGGTCAAGAGCCTCAGCAGAAAATGGAGCACAACAGGGTGATAGAAGGATTTGGGCTTATCTCAAGAGTGCCAGGGCTTGTAGACCGGGTGGCTGATGTCACTCTGATTAACAGGAACTGGGACCATTCAGAGAGGGTGGATTGTTCCATGTACACATCTGAAATATCCAACACTCCACTATCCTATTTGAACCTAGATGCCCAGAGACGTTAGCCCTGCTGAGCCTGTCAGACAAACACAGTAACCAGAGCTAAGCTGCTAAATTAAAAACACTGAGGAACCTCTTCAAATAAATTACTTAAAAATGGGAAGTGACCTAGGCATGATGGCGTACACCTGTAATCCCAGTACTTTGAGAGTCCAAGGTGGGTGGATTGCTTGAGCTCAGGAGTTTGTGACCAGCCTGGGCAACATGGCATACACCCAATCTCTACAAGAAATACATAAACTCTATGGTTTAATCCCATCTCTACAAAACCCCATGGCATAAACCCCGCCTCTACAAAAAATTAGCCAGGCGTGGTGCCACACACCTGTAGTCTCAGCTAATCAGGAGGCTGAGCGGGGAGGATCATTTGAACCTGGGAGACAGAGGTTGCAGTGAGCTGAGATCATGCCATAGCACTCCAGCCTGGGCGAGAGAGCAAGACCTTGTCTCAAAAAAATCCCCCAGTAAACAATGGGAAGTGTTTAACATACCATAATAACAATAGATACATACTCAGCACTTACCACATTCTGGGCACTATTCTGAGTGCTCTTCCTGTTTTAACTCACTTCATCTTCACAAAAACACTGTGTTTTGTAGGTACGGTTCTTGTCCCCATTTTACAGATGAGACACCTGAGGCACAGAGAGTTTAAGTAGTTTGCCTAAGGTTACACAGCCAGTAAGTGGTGGAATCAGGGATGAACCCAAAACAGTCTACTACACCTTGTACCCATGTAATCAATTGTGTATCTCTCTCACTTTCAGCAGTACAGATGTTCTCCCTGTAATCTTGTTTTGTTTTTGTTTTTGTTTTGTTTTTTGAAATGGAGTCTCACTCTGTCACCCAGGCTGTAGTGCAGTGGCACAATCTTGGCTCACTGCATTTTCTGCCTCCTGTATTCAAGCGATTCTCCTGCCTCAGTTACCCAAGTAGCTGGACTACAGGTGCCCACCACCACACCTGGCTAATTTTTGTATTTTTAGTAGAAACAGGGTTTCACCATGTTGGCCAGGCTGATCTCGAACTCCTGACCTTAGGTGATCCACCCGACTCAGCCTCCCAAAGTGCTGGAATTACAGGCATGAGCCACTGTGCCCAGCCTGTAATCTTGTTCAGACTACTGACTTGATTAAATGAACAAAAAACAAAACAAAAAAATTCTTCCTGGAAGATTAAGAGACATGTCTCGTAGCCCAGTTTTATTTAGTTAAAGTGAACGAACCTGAGAGGCTTTGCTACACCAGCAAGGCTGTTGATGCCAAGTCCATTCTGATTCTCGTCTCAGATCGCAGTCCTGGCCGGAGCCCTGGTGCTGGCCCGAGTCTACACCACTCCACGGAGGACCTGCGGATGCAGCAGAGTGCAAATTACGGACGTCTGTGTGAGTGTGTGCTCCGCTGCTCTTTGGCAGCTTTGTTTAGGCTGTGGCAGCTGTGACATGGCCACATTGCTATAGGTGGGGGAGGCAAAGCCCAGGATCTGCCAGGAATTTGCATGGATCTCATGGGCATGGATCAGGAGAAGCCTAACTTTCACTCTAAACCTGGGCTGCTGTCAGGGCCTCATTTACTACCTTAGTATTCAAGTCATTCCTCTGAAAAATGAGGCTCTCAGTCACATCCTGATGTAATCAATGCCCACTTCCATGTTCTAGGCATTTTTATCTCAGTTTGTATCTTCATCTTCACCAAACTGACCTTAACCCTGTTTTTTTGGTGAAAAGCTTTCCTGGAAATGGAATTTAAAAAAAAAAAATCGAGGTCCTTTCCTTCAGTTCAGTCAGGCAGCATTCCCATCACTGGGTGGCAGTCTAGTACCACCACACAGAAGAAATGTGGGCAGAGTCATGGCCCCTTTTTGCTGGGAATGGATGGTGTGGGGGGGTGGTTTGAGGTGAAAGGTCACAGACAGGCTTTTTACACAGCTTGTCAGGGATACACAGACAGGCAAGCTGGACGAAAGAAAGGAGCCAACTTAGAAAATGAAGAGAAAAAGAAAAAGCAGTGAAGGACTATTTTCCTTCTGGTACTTTTGCTAAAATGCCAAGATGTTAACAAGCGCAGCCCAGTGCTGTGCCCCGTCCATGCCCGAGGAGTGAATTGGGGGACAGTGCAGCCCCTGCCCATGGCCTTGGCCATAGCAGGTGTTTGCTGCAGTCTTCTCTCTCTGTCCTGATGGCCCAACTCCACTTAGTCTCCCCTGGCCTGATTATTCCACATAGGGATGCCCAGTGAATGTCAGTGAGTAGACAGTGGCTTCGGGAAGACCTTCCACTCAGTTGTCATTGCATATGAGGTCACCTCCCTACCGACACTGCTTGGGAGTAGGAACCACTGGGACAAGAGGCATGAGTGGATGGTTACAGCTTTGTGTGAACCAGGTCATATTCAAGGTGGTCACCCACCCCGAGGTGGCCCAGCATGCAGAACACAGGGCACAGGGGAAGGATCGGAGAAGAGGAGATGCTGACTGAGTCTTGGAGCATAAACAGAAGTTTTCCAGGAGCACGGAGGAGGAAGAGGGGGTTCTAAAAAAGGAAACAAATAGCAGGTTGGGGGAGGGAAGAGAAGGAGCTGGAGGTAAAGAACATCAGTTCAGTTTACAGGAAGTGCAGGAGTTAAGGGGAAGAGAAGGTCAAATCAAAGAGGGCCTTGTACACCCAGCAAAAGAAACCAGATTCTAGTGGGGCACGGTGGCTCACTCCTGTAATCCCAGCACTTTGGGAGACCAAGGCGGGCAGATCACCTGAGGTCAAGAGTTCGAGATTAGCCTGACCGACATGGAGAAACCCCATTTCTACTAAAAATACAAAATTAGCTGGGTGTGGTGGAGCATGCCTGTAATCCCAGCTACTTAGGAGGCTGAGGCAGGAGAATCGCTTGAACCTGGGAGGTACAGGTTGTGGTGAGCCCAGGTCGTGCCATTGCACTCCAGCCTGGGCAACAAGAGCAAAACTTGGTCTAAAACAAAACAAAAAACCTGGATTTTATTCTGAAGGTAATGGGAAGCTTGAAGCAGGAGCGTGCCATAATCAGATTTCTGTCCCAGTAGGAATAAACTAGAAGGGGCAAGATTGGAAGGCAGAGACTGAGCCTACCTTCAAGAATGGAAAGGAAGGGACAGAGGTAGAATTGAAGGGCTGGTGGGAAGCAGGAGGTGAGGAAGAGGGAGGGTCCAAGGCTGCTCCTAGATTTCTGTCTGAAAGGCTGGTGGATGGGAGGGAGGGGCATTGAGTGGGATGTGTCTGTGAGGGGAGTGATTTGGTGGAAGGTAAAGAGTTGTGTTTGAGGTGCCAGAGGGGGCTGCTCCGAGGAGTCTGCAACTCAGAAGAGGGGTCAAACTAAAGATCCATCCTGGGCATCCTCAGTCCAGATGGGTGTTGGAAATAATAGGAGTGGGGGTAATTGACCAGTGGAGAGGCTGAGGCACCTGGAGGGTGTGAGAGCAAAGACAAGGCCCCAGGAGGCCCAAGCAGGAGAGGATCTTGGGACAGAAATGAGAGGAGGAGAGCTGAAAGGAGCCACGTTCCGGACACCAGGAGTGACACAGGCCAATAGCTGAGACACGATAGGTCTGGGGGTATCCACCAGATCGGGCTAGTGGGAGAAGAGAGCTGACTTTCTCCCCCTTAACAGAGGAAGGAACTATTGGGCAGTCCAAATAACTGACTATCACTGTTCTCATGGGGAAGCCAGCTTCCTTCCCTCTGTCAGCCTAAATCGCCAGCCCATCTTTAAAGATTCTTACTGGTCATGGAGGACAGAGGTGAAACTGCTCTCCTCTCCAGCAGATTCCAAGCTTAGTGACACATGGCCCCTCATCTAATAATGCATCTGTTGTCCCTCCCCCTATCCAGGGCTGGTGCAGAGCCAGACCCAGAGTGGACAGCCTGGCGACGTCCAAGAAGGTGGAGTCTAAGAGTAGAGACTAGAGTGTGGTAGATTGAGAAGGGAGAAGGAAACAGTGGAGCCTGGAGTCTGACACCTCTTTCAGGAAAGCCATTAAATGGAAGGAAAGTGAGAGGATGCTAGCTTAAGGGAGCTGCAGGATTAAGAGGGAAGGGACTTGCTTTGGTTGTGAACATGGGAGAGGCATGAGTAGGGGCCATAGCAAAGGGACCTGTGAGAGCCTGGCTTCCCCTGATGGATCTTCCTTTCCTTCTCTCCTAGGTCATGCCCAGAGCAGAAGCATGAATGATATTTCTCTCACCCCAAACACAGACCAGGTAGTAAAATCCCTGCACTTGGCTGCAATGGAGGGCCAGGGCAGGAGGAAGTCTTTGGTTTCAGGGGCAGGAATCCCCTATGGGCAGAATTCCACTCCTACGAAGGAAGGGAATTCCAGGAAGGTCCCCCGTGGGGGCTCTGGGCCACCTGGGGGACTCTGCCAAGCCCAGCAGTCAGGGACTGATTGAGTCCCAGGTGCTGGCTCTATGTCAGGCCCTTGGGCTGTGGGACAGAGAACATGATCAAATGAGGTGCCAGCTGTCCTTGAGCTCAGCATTTGTTGAAGAGAAAAGACCAGCACACATGATTTCATCTTCCCTGTGACCCACAGGCAACTTTAAAGATGGGATAGGGATTGGGGCTGGCAGAAAGACGGAAAAGAGTCTCCCTGTGGGGAGAACAGTGGTAGTTAATTGCTTAGACTGTCCAATAGTGCATCTTCTTCCTGTGGTCTCCCATGAGCTGGACTGAAACTTCCTTGATGAGATCAGAATCCTACAAACAGGTTGGGTCCAGTTCTAAGTCCCACAGCCCCAGAATCCTGTGACTGTGCCCCTTGGGGAAGGCCAGAGGAGGCCCACTCAATTCCAACTCCTGCACACCTCAAGGACAGGAGGTCCCATGGTCCTGTTGTCTGTGTCCACAGGAATAGGAAGAAAAATGACAAAGGGAAACCTGAACTTGGCCAGGAGCCTTCAAGAGCTTGGGTGACCTGCAAGCCTTCCAGGCACCCCTAAGTTTGGTGGAAGGCAAAAACAAAGTCAGCCTCTCACGTCAGTGTCCTGGGCAAAAATAAACTAAACAATAACAAAATCAACCAACATTTAAAGTCCACATTCATGTGCTACACTGTGCCAGGCATTTTCTATGAATCACAAAGATACTATTTTCATTCCCATTTTACTCACGAGAGAACACTGAGGCTTACGTCAGTTAAATAACACACGCAAGTCTATAGAGCTGAAAGACAGAACTTTGATTTGACCTAGGTAGTCTAAGTCCTAGAGCTCGTAATTTGGGAACTACTTAGTATTCTGGAACATTATTTGGAGAGGAAAACCGCTTTTAGTCATGCACACAGACAGTGGAACTGTAATAAGAAAGCATTTCCGCCGGGCGCGGTGGCTCAAGCCTGTAATCCCAGCACTTTGGGAGGCCGAGGCGGGCGGATCACGAGGTCAGGAGATTGAGACCATCCTGGTCAACACGGTGAAACCCCGTCTCTACTAAAAATACAAAAAATTAGCTGGGGCATGGTGGCACGTGCCTGTAATCCCAGCTACTCAGGAGGCTGAGGCTGGAGAATTGCTTGAACCCAGGAGGCGGAGGTTGCGGCGAGCCGAGATCGCGCCATTGCACTCCAGCCTGGGTAACAAGAGCGAAACTCCGTCTCAAAAAAAAAAAGAAGAAGAAAGAAAGCATTTCCTAGTAAAAGTTTTTCATAACCTATTTTAATGAATGTGTGAATGGCAATAACAACACTGTCACTTTCAGCAGGCAGTGCTTCCTTGATTTAGGGATTGGAACCTACCATCTAGCGCCAGCATCTAGTTCTCCTCGCTGATACCTGATGCTGCAAATACTGAGAAGCAGCATCAGTGGTCTATGCCAGTGGGCGTTCTTTAGCAAGCCCAGAGGCATTTGCTCTGCAGGCTCTTTCTTCATCATTGGTTTATACAAAACTAAACTCCATGCCTGCCCTGAGTCGGCAAATTCCCAGTGAACAGAGAGTAGATTCAGACAGTATCATTGTGCTGCAGTGACTCCAAGGGTTCAGGAAGTGGAGTCAGCAGGGTCCTGGTTATACAAACCCATGTCCAGGCTGTGGGCAAGCCAGGGTTGGTCAGAACACTAGCATGCTCCTATTTCTGGGATTCCACAACCCTGGCCTCCTTACCAAACAGGTCACAATGTGTAAGGAAGGACCAAGTCCCTGGTTCAGTTTCTCTTCTCTCCTGGATTACAAGTGGGTTGGTTTGATGGCCAGGTGTTATGGCTCACATCTGTAATCCCAGCACTTTGGGAGGCTGAGGCAGATGGATCACTTGAAGCCAGGAGTTCCAGACCAGGCTGGCCAACACGGAGACGCCCTGTTTCAACCAAATATACAAAAATTAGCTGGACATGATGGCATGTGCCTGTAGTCCCAGCTACTTGGGAGACTGAGGCTGGAGAAGCGCTTGAACCTGGGAGGAGGAGGTTGCAGTGAGCCGAGATCGTGCCACTGCACTCCAGCCTGGGTGACAGAGCGAGACTCGTCTCAAAACAAAACAAAACAATACCAAAAACAAGTGGGTTTGTTGGGACACCCTGAAGCATCGCTGCTTCCAAAGCCTCATTCTCCAGGGTGCTCCTGCTTAGCCCTCTTCTCCTCCCCTGCCCTGGATCCCCTCCCTGCCTGATGCTCAGAGATGGTGGCTGCCCTGGTACACCCAGCTCTGCACCCTGAAGAATGCTGCTTATTAATCAGCTGACCATGCCTGAGACAAAGGGACTTTTTGAGTCTCGGGGACTCTGGTGTTCCTATCAATTCCTGCTTTTTCTCACTATATAAGGATCCTTGAGGCTGCTGATGGTTGCCTGGGTGGTTGTGGAGGGTTTTTTTTCTGATTGGATTTAAAAGATTTTAAGGGTGCAGGCCTTGCTCGTACTGGTAGGCCACCCAGCCCAGTGTGTATCATGCCCCCACATAAGTCAGATCAGGAAACAGCTGTGGGCATAAAAGGGCAGGACCTGCTGGCCATATCCATGCCCACAGCTGACCCCTCCACAAGGACAGGAAGAGACACAAGGAACCTGTGTCTTCACTGAGCCTGTGAGAAACAGACAGGTCTGTGCCCATAGGAAAGACTCCAGCAGAAGGGAGATTAGTGGGAAAATTGTGATGTTTGCAGGTGCTTTCTTTAGAGCTGTCTTCTACCACCAGGCTCTTTCCTGTGGTTTCAGCCACCGTGGACTGTACTCAGCCCTGCCACCACCGCAACTGCTCCCCCTCTGTCTTCCAACAAAATTATCTCTGTCTCTTGTCGGTCCATGCCCTTGCTGCCCAGAGGGAAAGCAATCTGAAAAAGGGATTCATTCTAAGATGTTAAGGACTAAGAAGAGCTCGAAAGTAATCATCCCTGGTATATTTTCAGTGTAAAAAAGGACCCAGGAAGAATGAAGTTATAAACACAGAGAGTGGGAACACATTTGAGTGGAGGGCTTGTCTCCAAAACTCTCACATCAGACCCCACTGGCTCTGCCTGTATGACCCACCTCCCCTGAAGAGACACTAGCCAGAGGCACTGGAGAGAGGCCACCTTGATAGTCTCCACTGGAAAATCCCAGAAGTTATGAATTTCCTTGGAGGTCCCCTGGCGGTAACTTGGAGGCATGGAAATCTCCCAGACTTTGAGACTGGTCCAGGAATTCCTGTGAGCCAGGAAGCTGGTGGCAAAGGGAAAACAAGGCCTGTCTACTTTGACCATCAGAACAGGCCTCCTCCTCCCCACAGCCACCAAAAGTGAAGGTGGAGGGGGGTGGGGTCTGGGTGGCTGGAGTAGAAGCACTGACACTCCCGTCTGCTCAGCCTGGAAGAGGCCATCCAGTGAGGCCTGATGTCCGGCAAGCCTGGGGCTCTTCTCTGACCCTCAACCCACAACTCAGTGGAACAGTTTTCATCCATCAAGGAATATCTTAGGGCCAAGTCATTGCCAGTTCCTTCCCATCTACAAAGCTTAATGGTGCCTGGGGTTAACCTACATTCAGTCTCCCCATCTGCAGAATTGGGAGAGTACTTGGTTATTCTTTCAGTCTCTTGGCAACATTGGGAGAATTTTTTTCAAGTTAGGCCTGAAAGCAGTCTGAAGGGGAGTGAGGACGTGAGAGCAGGTGGGAGTCTCCATGGCTATCTCGTTTTCCTTCCCTGTCCAGCGGAAAAACAAATTCATGAAGAAGATCCCCAAGGACTCAGAAGCCTCCAATGTGCTCGTGGGCGAGGTAGACTTCCTAGACCAGCCATTCATCGCGTTTGTACGCCTCATCCAGTCAGCAATGCTGGGAGGAGTGACAGAGGTGCCTGTCCCCACCAGGTGAGAGCCATTGAAACCTGTCCCCATGCCACCCTCAGGGAGCCAACTGTCCGCAGTCAGCAAGCAGTGCTGTTTATTGTTAGTACTCTTGGAGACACCTCTAAATGTGGAGGTTGCTGGGAAGGGATATCTTCTAACTAGGGAAGAGTTTTAGAGTTTATTAAAAATCATAAAAGAGTAGGTAACAACTGGGAGAGAAGTTGTCAGGTGGGCGTTGGCAGCAAGACAAAGGTGAGGATGCTCAAGGGGGACCCTAAGGGAGGGGAAGAGGAAATGTTCCTCCAAAGCAAATGTGGGGTTCCACAGAGGGAAGTAAAAAAGTAAAAATGGGCTGGGTGCAGTGGCTCATGCCTCTAATCCCAGCATTTTGGGAGGCCAAGGCGGGTGAATTGCTCAAGCCCAAGAATTGGAGGCTAGACTGGGCAGCATGGTGAAACCGTGTATCTACTAAAAATACGAAAAATTAGCTGGGTATGGTGGTGCACGGCCATAGTCCCAGCTACTCAGAAGGCTGAGGTGGGAGGATCACTTGAGCCCACGAGGTGGAGGTTGCAGTAAGCCAAGATTGCGTCACTGCACTCCAGCCTGGATGATAGAGTGAGACTCTATCACAAAAAAAAAAGTTAAGAATGGATATTGTTTGGGCCAAAAAACTCTCTTCACCTGCTTCTATTTTTTCTTCTCACTTTCATGCTCCTCTTCCTTCATCTTTTCTGTCTCCTCCTCCATCTTCTTTGCAGATTTCTGTTTATACTGCTGGGACCTTCTGGGAGAGCAAAATCCTACAATGAAATTGGCCGTGCTATTGCAACCCTCATGGTAGATGATGTAAGTGGTAACCAGAAGCTTGTACTCCTGAATTTTATGCCTCCTGCACCAAGCACTGCACCTTCATTCATTAACTTATCCAGCCAGCACATTGGAGCACCTACTGTGTTCCAGGCACTACTCAGGATGCTAAAGATGAAGAGAATCGGGGAATAGTCATTGTCCTTTAGGAGAACCAATCAAGCGTGAGGGACAAATTGATAATTATGAAGCTAACCATATGCTAGCTGCCCAGGGGGTCAAGAAGGGCTTCACAGATGAAGGGGCTTTAAAGCTTAAGAAGGAGCAGGAGGAAGGTAGGCCCAGCACCAGGCTACGAGGCAAGCATTCTAGACAAAGGAAACGAATGGGTCAGGCTCAGAGAAGCTGGATGGAGGTGGTTTGATGTAGGCTCAGTGGAAGAGCTTCAAGGGAAGGGGGTGACACTGGAGAGGTGAGCCAGAGACTACACAAAGCCTGTAAGCAGAGCTGAGTCACACTGTGTCCCCAGAGTGCTGGGGAACCTAGAGGACTTTAACTCTTCCCGTTTGTGCCAAAAATACTGGCGGCACTTGTGACTGCAGCCTTTACCCCGAGATAACTTTTCCCCACAAAATGTCTCACTTTTATTATTATTTTCACATTGCTCCAGTATGTTGATATTAGAAACAAAGACATCATTCTACTTAGAGCATTCTGTTTTTAGTTGTGGTATTTCCATTTACAAAATACAGTAATTCTCAATGACTGAAAATATCAAATCCTAGAAAACTAGCATTCCTACGAGTGATGGTAACATCATTCTCGAACAGTTGTTGGCCTAAGAGTCATTTGATGAATCCACTGTTTCCAAACTAGATGATTCTGATAATTCCAATGATTTTTATGTTAGTTCTGTTTAGAAATAACGCCAAGAACAGTTGTTATATTTCATTTTCACATTGAAAATCAAATTTGCTTTGGCCTCAAAGAGTGTGTTCATGTAAAATTAAATGACCACTGGCAGTGAACTGCACTTTTCTTTTCCTAAATGGGAAGAGGGTTAAACATGAGCATAGTCCCATGGAATCTGCAAGTCAGAAAGCACACTCAGACAGTGTGAACAATGCAGGCTGGGCCTCCAAGGGTGAAAGGGCTGGGAGTAAAAATTGGAAGTGAAATATCTGAGCTCTTTGGATTGGGCTCTACAAAGGTTTTCTAATGTGTGTGCTGTGTGAAGAACTGAAACCAGAAAGGTTAAGTAACTCGACCAAAGTCCTGCAAGCAAGAATACGGAGACCTGGCCTTCAGATCCAAGACAGGCTGTCTTCCCCCAGTGCCTGCTGTGTCCTGTTGTACCATATTTTACCAGTGTGCTGTGGTTCCCTCCCAAAAACTGAGAGTGAGTTGGCAGTGGGAGATGTGGTTCAGTGATTTCTTTAAAAACTAGATGTGGTATGCTCCTGGGCACGTCACAAACAGACCTGACCTTTTTTTTCTCCCTCCTCTCTCCTTGCCAGCTCTTCAGTGACGTGGCCTACAAAGCCCGCAATCGGGAAGATCTGATCGCAGGAATTGATGAATTTCTGGATGAGGTCATCGTCCTTCCTCCTGGAGAATGGGACCCAAATATCCGAATTGAACCCCCCAAGAAGGTGCCCTCTGCTGACAAGAGGTGTGTATGAGAATGGGCAATAGGGAGAGAAAAAGGAGGCTTCAACTCTGTTGGTATCGTTTTATTTCTCTTTAAAATACATCTAAGGCCCAGCATGGTGGCTCATGCCTGTAATCTCAACATTTTAGGAGGCCAAGGTGAGTGGACTACTTGAGCCCAGGAGTTTGAGACCAGCCTGGGCAACATAGTGAGATCTTGTTTCTGAAAAAAAAAAAAAAAAAAAAAAAAAAAAAAAAATTAGCTGGCATGGTGGCACACACCTGTAGTTCCTGCTACTCTGGAGGCTGAGGTAGGAGGATTGATTGAGCCCAGGAGGTTGAGGCTACAGTGAACTATGATCATGCCACTGTATTCCAGCCTGGGCAACAGCATTTGACCCTATCTCAAAACAATTTTTAAAATAAGTTTAAAAATAACGAGATGGCCAGGCACAGTGGCTCATGCCTGTAGTCCCAGCACTTTGGGAAGCTGAGGCAGGCAGATCATGAGGTCAAGAGTTTGAGACCAGCCTGACCAAAATGGTGAAACCTCATCTCTACTAAAAATACAAAAATTAACCGGGCATGGTGGCATGCGTTTGTAACCCCAGCTACTCAGGAGGCTGAGGCAGGAGAGTCGCTTGAACCCAGGAGGCAGAGGTTGCAGTGAGCCAAGAAGGTGCCACTGCACTCCAGCCTAGGTAACAGAGCGAGACTCCATCTAAAATAAATAAATAAATAAAAATAATAAGCTATATCAGAAACAAATATGGCTAAATGTGAACATTTGTAAAATCTAGGTGACTTGCATGTGGATAGTGTTAGATCATTTTCTTCATTTATGTCTGTCTTCTAAGATATTTCATAATTTTGGTTGGAGAGGTGAGGGGTGCTCTGGGGTCCCCCTCTCCCTCATCCTCCTTCTCTTCCAGGAAATCTGTGTTCTCCCTAGCAGAGCTGGGCCAGATGAATGGCTCTGTGGGAGGAGGTGGTGGAGCTGCTGGAGAAGGCAACGGAGGCGGCGGTGGTGGCGGCGGGGCCGGCGGTGGTGGTGGGGCCGGCGGAACGAACAGCGGGGATGATGGAGAGATGCCAGCCGTGCACGAAATCGGGGAGGAGCTTATCTGGACAGGAAGGTCTCACCCCAGGCCTCATAGTGACCCTGCTGTCTTTTAGACTTCTCTCCTTCTCAGCTGCGCTCTAGGGACCCTTCCCAACCATGGCCTGTAGCGCCCACTCAAGTTACCCCTGCCTTCTTTCCCTCCCAGAGCCCTTGAGCCCCATCATGGATCCCCAAAAAGGTTTGCCTCAGGAGAGGGGAATTTGAGACCCTATACAAGAGAAGAACCCAAACTTTTCTCTTAGACATCCTTTGGTGCCTGTTTCCTGGGTCTGCTGTAACAAAGTACCACAAACTAGCTGGCTTAAAACCACAGAAGGTTACTCTCCCTCAGTTCTGGAGGCCAGGAGTTCCACAGCAGGTGTCAGCAGGACCACCATGCTCCCCGAAGCTCTGGGTGGAATCCTTCCTGGCCTCCTCCTGGCTTCTGGTGGTGGCCAGCAGTTCTTGGTGTTCCTGGATGGCAGCTGCATCACCCCCGGCTCTGCCTCTCCACCACATGGCCTCCTGTGTGTCTCTGTCTTCACACAGCACATTCCTCTTTGTATAAGGACACCAGTCATATTGGATTAGGGCCCACCCTAATGACTTTGTCTTAACTGGATTACATCTGTATAGATGTTACATAGATATTAGGGCCTTAATATAGATCTTTTGGAGGGGACACAATTCAAAAAGTACCTTTTTTAAAAACCTAATTTACCTATTCAGAAACTTTTCTTTTTTTCTTTTTTTAAGAAAATATCTCCTGGCCTGGGTTTTTTTTTCCAGCTTTTGGAGCCACTCAGGTTGATTTAGATTTAGGAAAGGATATGGCCTTGTAAATCTACATGTAAATCATGACTTTGAGAACGAAGTCATGTTTTAAATGCCCTTGACTTTATACCAGCAGCTCTCGACTTTGGCTCTCCTTAGTCCCCCTACCCCAGAGTCCAGGGGATTTGGCAATGTCCAGAGACATTTTTGTTTGTCACAACTGGAGAAGTGAGATGCTACTGGCATCTAGCAGGTAGCTGCTAAACATCCTGCAGTGCATGGGACAGCCCTTACAACAAAGGATTATCCACTCCAAAACAGAACTGTGGTTGAGAAACTCTGCTCCATGCTAAGGACTGCACTGGGGGATATGGGAATAGCAATCCCAGTAAACAATGTCTCCAAATCTAAAATCTCCCACTCAACTGTTCCAGATAGAAAAATCAAAAAAACAAATACCAACCAGTTATAAGGTTTAGAATCTGTTTTTAATGAGTCTGTTATAATCTGGGATGCTTCTGTCACCGAAAGTTAGACACACCTGTATTCACCAAGAGCAGGCACCCTGCAGATGGTCAGGGATGTGAGGAGGACCAACATCTGTGGACCCCAGGACTTCCATTCTCCATGGAATGTTAGGTCTACATTGAGACATATTCCCATCAGACTTTCCCTCTCCAAAACCTGCTGTGTCCATCCTTCCCAGTGTGGGGGGCGCCAACCACAAACTCAGTCCTACAGGAATTCATCCCTGGCCCTAAATGTTCTGGTGGAAAGATCTTTGCCCCATCCACTCCAGTCAAGTTCCTTTCCTCACCCCAGACTCATGCAGGTTCTTGTAAATAGCCCTGCCCCTGCACTGGTGTTAGTGGTGAGAAAGCAGCCCCCGGCCTGTCTTGAACAGGTTCTTCGGTGGCCTGTGTCTGGATATCAAGAGGAAGTTGCCCTGGTTCCCAAGTGACTTCTATGATGGCTTCCACATTCAGTCCATCTCTGCCATCCTATTCATCTACCTCGGCTGTATCACCAATGCGATCACCTTTGGTGGGCTTCTGGGGGATGCTACCGACAATTATCAGGTATGTGTGAGCTGGGGACCTGAGTGTAAAAGTAAGATCTGCCGCCACCTGGTGGCAGCAGGCAGCTTCATCCTGTAATTCCCAAAACCAAGGTTTCATCTACCATCCAGGTTGAGGCCATCACTATTTGTAACCCGTTTAGCTTTCATGTAATAACAATATGACAGTATTAAAAGATCTGAAACTAAATCTCATTACTAAAGACCAAATTTAATAATGCTTTAAGTAGGTCAAACTGTTAAGGGGAATCATCTGCTGTTATTTGATACTCTTCCCACTGATACTAGAGTGAATTTAATCAGACAATTAATGGAGTGCTAATTGTGGCCTTCTCCCTGCACCTTTTAAAAACCAACCTTGAATTCTTAGTTTGGAGTTAAGACATTTTTAGAAGGATGGTAAGCTGTTACTATAGCAACAACTCAGGCCTCCCTGGGGAAAACAGCTCAGCAGAGACACCCGCCAATTTCTTAGGCAAGTGTCTTCTTTGGTGGAGGCCTTCAAAGTAGAGCCATTGGAAAGCTAGGTGCACCAAGGAGAAGACCCATTTGTCTGGTGCCTCCTAGGCATGTCCACATGGCTGCCCCTCAGGATACCCCAATTCACACAGCTGACATTGCATCCATTATCTTCCTTCCTGACCTGCTGTTCCCAGGACTTTCCCAGCATAGCAGATGACACCATGGTTCACCCAACTGTCTACACCCGGAACTAAGCATTATCCTAGCTTCTCCATGTGGCCCTCGCCACATAGCCCTATCTGGCTCTCACACCTCATCTCCCAGCATTCTCTTTCTCAGCATTCCTACTCTACCCACCCATTCTGCATTCTGTTTTCCATCAATCCTGATCATCTTTTGGTTCTTCAAGTACATACTGTCTGTCAGCTCCAGACCTTTTATACGGTATTCCCTTTTTCTGGGACACTGTTTCTTATTGCTTCACTTAACCTTCTTCCCCTGGCCAATTCTCTGCTCATTTTTTGGATCTCAGCTTGTACTTGTCCACTTCTAGGGAGGCCTTCCTGACCACCCGTTTACCCCTACTGCTTGCTCCTGTGACACCCTAGACTTGTCCCAGCTTAGCACACCTCTTGGCAGTGGCTCTCAACAGGGACAATTTTTGCCCCAGGAGACATTTAACAATATCTAGCCAGAGTTTTCATTGTTAAAACTGGGAGGAGGATTGCTACTGGCATCTAATGTGTAGAGGCTGTGGATGCTACTAAACATGTTACAATACACAGGACAGACCTTCACAACAAAGTATCATCTAGTCCAAAATATCAGTTGTGGTGAGATTGAGAAATCCTGCTGTATAGAAATTGCCTGGTTAATTACCCATATCTCCCACTAGAATTAAGGTGTGTTTTCTTGTTCAGTGATGGGTTTCTAATACCTTGCACAATGTCTGGTACATAACGGACACTCAATGGATTTTGAAAGAATGAATGAATGATCTGACCTCTAAAAGCCCCAGACAGATGTTTGGATGAATGAATAATCAGATGGATAAATGGGCTGTCTTCTGGAAGTAGATTGGACACAGAGACAAGCACATCCACTGTTTTCTAGGCCCTGGGTGCCAAAAGGAATTCACATGGGAGCTTTATCCAGATGGAATTAAAGAGAGTGGCACTGGCCATGGTGGCAAGTAGTGGAGGGAGTAGGAGATGGAGAACAGGATTTAGGGAGGAAAGGGCCCAGAATGAAGGATGAACACCGTGGCCTGGGTCCTTGGAGAGATCACTGGGCTGCAGCCTCTGTGGAGAGGCCCCTTCTCCTGCCTGTGCTGAGCCACACATTCCTTGTGTCCCCAGGGAGTGATGGAGAGCTTCCTGGGCACTGCCATGGCTGGCTCATTGTTCTGCCTCTTCTCGGGACAGCCTCTCATCATTCTCAGCAGCACGGGACCCATCCTCATCTTTGAGAAACTCCTCTTCGACTTCAGCAAGTAGGTGTCCCTTGGTCCCCAGTACCTGCTCTCACACTTGCGGTAGTATGCCAAGGCCAGGGTAGGGGAGTAAGCCCAAAGGGGAGGTGGTGGTACAGAGGTGCCAAAGCTGTCTTTAACCATGGGAAGGGCTACCCAGTGACCCTTCCTGACTCCTGCCAGCTACCTGCCTTTAAGACATCTTAGTGCATATTGGCACAGCCCATAGGGACCAACCATGACAAGAGGAGATAATTCACACCACTCAGTTTGTGAGCAGTGACTTGATAGGCAGTGTAGTGTATGAAAAGTCTTGGGTCTCTAGGTCAGAAGGCTACACCCAGACCCTGGCAGCTCCCGTCACTACTCCAGGCTCAGTTACCTCCTCTATAGCATGAGGGTTGGGACTAGACCATTTCCAAGGGCCGCTCAGCCCTGTTCTTCTAAAATTTCGTTTTTCACTCACTCTGGTGTCTGTTACCAACTGTGTGAACACTGAGATGTCTTAGCACTTCCTGCCTCCCCCATAAGATCTTCAAAAATTTTTTTTTACTTATAAACACGACCCCCATGCGATCTCAAAGATAGACAACTGTGTCCTTGTCCCTGTCCCCAGTCTTTCACAGTCCCTGGAAGGGCATCTGTGCCATAGGAGGACAGATAAGCCACTCAGGGGTGGGTCTGAGGAGCCAAGCACAGCCAGGAGGCCTGGCCTGGAGGCCACTCACCTTCCCTCTGTCTTCCAGAGGCAATGGCCTGGACTACATGGAGTTCCGCCTCTGGATTGGCCTACACTCAGCTGTCCAGTGCCTTATCCTAGTGGCCACAGATGCCAGCTTTATCATCAAATATATCACCCGCTTCACTGAGGAGGGCTTCTCCACCCTCATCAGCTTCATCTTTATCTATGATGCCATCAAGAAGATGATCGGTGCCTTCAAGTACTATCCCATCAATGTGGACTTCAAGCCAAACTTTATCACCACCTACAAGTGCGAGTGTGTCGCGCCTGACACAGGTGACCGGTAACCCCAGACATGCCATAGGCCCTCACCTACCCCCCTCAACCCTGGTCCCCTGACCCTTTACCACAGCTCTCTACTCCTACTGCAGAGGAGGGGCTGTTCAGCCAAAGGCTTGCTGTTCCAAGGGAGAAAATACAGGGTTTTGAACCCAGTTTTTCAAAGGAACCAAGGGGATAGTAGCTCTAATAAGAGTCACAGGGTTATCATCATGAGGGTACAGGTATACCCCAAGAAGGTGTAAGGCATGCTTTGTCTCGGTGTGGGGTAATGTAGAGGCCACACCTCTGAGGAGTTCCTGCTGCCCAAGGGTTCCTACTCCAGGCCAGGGGTAGACCTGATGATGACTGAAGTTCCTCCCAGCTCCATCAAGTCATGATATGATGAGCTGTCCCCAACACATGCTGCCCATGTGGTCACATACCTTGTAAGGTGAGACCACACCTGAGGGATGGACATCCACACAGATGGGAACATGTCCAGAGTGGAGGCTCTGCCAACCATGCCATCTGAGAACAGCTGCATAACCGGGGCTTATTCAGCCTCTTAGGGACATGAGAGTTATGAGAGAACTGTCATGTCACAGACGGGCTGTGTTCACCCTCTGAAACCACAGGATGTAGAGCAGAATGAGGAACAGAGAGCAGAAGCTCCAGGGAGCCAGATACTGACTGAATTTAAGAAAGAACCTACAGTGGTGGGAGTTACCACCATGGGATCTCTCGGCCCCTTTGGGTGGTAGATTACCTGGACACTGTCTGGATGTCCATCTGCCAAGGATATTGTAAAAATGATTCTTGTACAGGTGGAGTCAACCCGATAACACCCAGTGCCACACCTGTGGAGTTACTTTCTGGCCAAAAACCTGTCCTCCATAATAAGGCTTCCCATAGAGTCTGAGCCTCCTTCATAGTCATGATCATGCACCTAAGAGCCTTCAGTGGCATGTGCCCAGAGTGCCCAGGGTGCTGCAGAGCAGGAGCAGGAGGTCTATGCACACATCTCCAAGCACCAAGGCTGGACTCACAGAGAGCAAACTGAGGTTCAGAGACCACCCAAGGTCATGCCAAGCCTCCATTTCCCTGGCTGTAAAAGAGGGCTTTCAATGCAGGCCCTGCTGGTCTCCTGGGATTCCTGTGGGGTTTCCAAATCTATACCCCAATTGAGTTGAAGGAAATAAGTGGATAGTGGGTTGTTCAGCCCCTTACTACATTACTGTGAGTAAAAAGAAAATCATAAGTCAATCAAAAATATTTGCTGCACAATTATTGTGTACCCTACTTTAGGCCTTGTGGAAGATAATGATGTCCTGCCTTCCGGGAGCTTAGTGTTGATTATACCCTCTTCCCTCTGTGACTGCATTGATTTTGTAAAGGAGTCCAGACTTCTTTTTTCTTTCTTTTTTCTTGTCATAATTTTAAGTTAATCCACTAAAATCTAATAACAGGTGAAGCTACCCTTCATCCTGAGCCAAGGCATATTGCTTCCCCAGAGGGGATCCTACCTGCAGGCAGGCCCTTTAGATTCTACCCTGGAACAAATCCTGCCTCTGTGGGGAAGCCGCATCAGGACCTTCCCATGTGCTTGTATCTTCTATACTATAGATTCGGTGTTGCATTGACATACATTTTACACAAATATAGCTTCTAGAAGCACACATCCTTGATCTCTTTTAGAAATGATCCAAATTCTAGGGTTATATAAGGTATAAGGAGCTTTGACCTTTTTTTTTTTTTTTTTTTTTTTTTTTTTTGAGATGGAGTCTCTCTCGTGTTGCCCAGTCTGGAGTGCAATGGCACAATCTCGGCTCACTGCAACCTTTGCCTCCAGGGTTCAAGCGGTTCTCCTGCCTCAGCCTCCTGAGTAGCTGGGACTACAGGCATGCACCACCATGCCAGGCTAATTTTTTTTTTTGTACTTTTAGTAGAGATGGGGTTTCACCATGTTGGCCAGGTTGGCCTCAAACTCCTGACATCAGGTGATCCACTCACCTCGCCTCCCAAAGTGCTGGGATTACAGGCGTGAGCCACTGGGCCTGGCCGCTTTGGCCATTCTGAGAATCATCTATCCATAAGAAAAATCAAACCCGGGATGCTCTAGGAACAAGGGCCATAAGAGTGTATAAGGTACATTATGAGTGACATAATGAAGCCAACTGTTCCCAAATATCTTCCTCTCTGCCTTTGCCCAGGTACCTGATGTTACCTCATTCTTTGGGGTCATGCTGGTGTCATGGTTCTCAAAATGTCCCTGGACCAGCAGCATCAGGGAACTTTCTAGAAATGCAAATTATTCACTTCCTGCCCCAGACATGCTGATCAGAAACTCTGGCTGGGCATAGTGGTGCACAACTGTAGTCCCAGCTAATCAGGAGGCTGAGACAGGAGGATTGCTTGAACCCAGGAGTTTGACACCAGCCTGGACAATATAGCCAGACCCTGTCTCTGTTTCAGAGAGAGAGAGAGAGAGAGAGAGAGCGAGAGAGAGAGAGGAAGGGGAGGAAGGGAAGAAGGGAGGAAAAAGAAACTCTGGAGTAGGATCCAACTAGACATACATTAAGTCTTCCAATTGATTCTGACGCACTCTCGAGTTTGAGAGCTGTTGCTCTATTGAACTATCAGTAATAATGGGGTGTTATTGGCCACTAAACCCCAATAAGATTAAATTTCAGTTTCTTCACAGGACTGGGATAAGTTAGTTTTGATTAAGATAATATGGAAAGGAAAATTCTATACATTTAGGAGACTGGGACGAGGGGGATGAACTGTGGAGGGTTTCTTTCCCGGTCTACAGGCCACCTACTTAGTAATGAGCCCATATTCCTAGTTTTACTGAGAAGCCCAGTCTTACAATGGTATACTCTCACTCTTTGTCACTCTTCATCAGAAAAGCTTGTTTGGGGTACTCTCTTTGTATTTGCTTTTGCTTCCATTGTAATTTATTTGTATTCTGTTTATGAATGCTGCACACACTGATTGGCTGCTTTCAATCCCAAGTGAGTACCACTTTGTAAACACTAGAATTTAAAAATGTTTGATATTTGGACCCCTTCTGAAATTTTCCATGTTATATTTCTTTCATCTTCATCTCAACTGACTTTCAGATAAACCCTACAAAGTTTTCAGTGTAAAAGAATTGATAAGCATAAGCAGAAGACATCAAAGGTGGTCTGAAGACATTGGGTAGTGAAAAAGAAATCTGAACTCCCCAGGCTCAAGCATCAGCCAGGAGTTCCCTAGCGTTTGAGCGAGAAGCCCTGAGTCAGCCTTCCTGCCCAGCTTCTCTGTCTCTGTCATTAATTGTACATCATGTTCTTTTGGTCACTGATGTTGAGGAAAGGCAGTAGATGACCCCAGTTTCTAATAAACGAAGCCTTCCTCAGAACAATCCTAACAAACCTCTGGGTTTGTAGAGCTTCTAGGAATATTCTGTCCTGGGTCAAATCAAAATTCCTTAGCCACTCAGCATCAGCTGGCCTGGAGTGAGCAACATAGCTGGGCCCTGTGGTCGTATCAGCCCTGTGGACAGCTTGTTGGAGGTTGGGAGAAGCCCCAAGACATACCCTTCTTCTTTCTGGGTTTCTAACCAACTGTGGACAGCCAGCAGGAGCTATGTCAGGCTTACACTGCATTTCAACATATTGCCAGCAAGTTGGCTGGTGGGCCCGCTCCCTCTCTCCCCAGACCTGCTGCCGAGGGACTACTTGGTCTGCCTTCACTGGAGGAGGACGGTGAGGCAGGCCTGGCCTTTGCCTCCAACCTTGCAGTTCAGGAGGAAGAGAGAGGGCAGTAGGCCTCCAAAGCCTGGCTTCCTGTGGGTGGCCACATCCCTGTGGAGCCTGGCCCTGTGAATGAGGAGCAGGGGAGGCAGGACAGACCACAGAAGCGGGGAGCAGAAGGGTCCACATGGAAAGGAGAGATGAGTGACTGGGATTCCTTGAAACTCTCCCTGTAGACCCTTATGTGATTCACATACAATTAGGAACACTGAGGCCAGGGTAGGGAAGTACCCAGCAAGGGATGCAGAGACACCCGCTGAGAGCAGCACATTTGGGTTCCTGATTCTGCTTCAGGGCCTGGACCTTGGTTTAACTTTCCTCAACTTGCATTTGGCAGATTAGAAAAGATAATCTCAAAGCAGCAAGTTCTGTCAGGACTAGCTGACCTTTAAGAAAAAGCACATATGGGCCGGGCATAGTGGCTCATGCCTGTAATCCCAGCACTTTGGGAGGCTGAGGTGGGCAGATTACTTGAGGTCAGGAATTCAAGACCAGCTTGCCCAACATGGTGAAACCCTGTCTCTACTAAAAATATAAAAAATTAACCGGGCGCAGTGGCGCGTGCCTATAGTCCCAGCTACTCAGGAGGCTGAGGCATGAGAATCGCTTGAACCTGGAGGTGGAGGTTGCAGTGAGCCAAGATCACACCACTGCACTCTAGCCAAGATGAGAGAGCAAGATTCTATAGCAAAAAAATAAAATAAAATAAAAGGAGGGCTGGAAGAGAAGGGATGTATCTGTGGAGGTGAACAGGTCAGGAAAGTTCACTCTGTAGAGCTTGGAAGTTTATAGGCTCTGGACCAGCCTTCCTGGGATGGGATCATGGCTCCAAGCATGAGCTGTGTGACCTTGGGTGAATTACATAACCTCTCTGGGCCTCAGTTACCTCATCTGTAAAGTGGGTATATTTGGTGAAGATTTGGGAATTAAATACATGAATATATGTAAGGGCTTAGCATAGGGCATGGCATAGAATAAATTCTTTGAACGTTTTTAAGTCTAACAGCCCAGTGGCCAGTAAGGATTCACAGGCACATTATCCGCCAGCTTGTCTTAGTACTTTGTTGTGACCCCAGATTCCCCGTTTCAATTTTTAAAACGAGCTATCGTCGTCAGGCAGGTGCTGTCCTGGCCTAGCTGGTCTGTCAGAGTTGTGGCCTAGGCTCTGTCCCACCAGGCCTTCCCTAACTGTGGCAAAGTCAGGAAGGTGGAGAGGGAGCTGCCCTCACAATGGAAGCCAAGCCTTGGCTCTGAGGAACTGGAGGGAGATGGTTAGGGGTTGGGAATGCAGCTCCTGGCCCCACCGCTACTGACCCTGCCCCGTGTCATGTGCTCATCCACAGTGAATACAACCGTGTTCAATGCTTCAGCCCCCCTGGCACCAGACACCAACGCTTCTCTGGTAAGTCGTTTCCTCTTATGTCAGACATCTGAGTACTTTTGTTTGTAGGAGGAGTGAGAAAACATTTTGGAAATGAGACCAGCTGTGGCCATCCAGACTTGCAGAGGTCAACTCCAGCCATACATCAGGGTCACCTGCAGAACTTTGTAAATGCACACTTTTTTTTTTAAGGTATACACTGTAAACATCCCACTTAAAAACATGCCTCATTCTCTTAACTCCATGTTTTATGGGGGGGTTTTTTTTTGGCTTTTTTTTTTTTTTTGAGAGGGAGTCTCGCTCTGTCACCCGGGCTGGAGTGTAGTGGCACAATCTTGGCTCACTGCAACCTCCACCTCCCAGGGTAGAGACAGGGTTTCACCATGTTGGCCAGGCTGGTTTCGAGATGGGGTATCACCATGTTGCCCTGGTTGGTCTCGAACTCCTGGGCTCAAGTGATCAGCCTTCCTTGGCTTCCCAAAGTGCTGGGATTACAGAAGAGGACCACTGTGCCCAGCCCCATGTGTATTAATAATATGATACGAGCTGGGTGTAGTGGCACACGCCTATAATCCCAGCTACCTGAGAGGCTGAGGCACAAGAATTGCTTCACCCCAGGAGGCGGAGATTGCAGTGAGCCAAGATGATGCTACTGCACTCCAGCCTGGGTGACAGAGTGAGACCCTGTCTCAGAAATAATAATAATAATAATAATATGACACACACACAAAGGAAGGGGAGATACAGGTGAAGAACGGTAAATAGGACTGCACAAAGCTTTAAGCAAAGTCTCCCATTCATCTTTCTGCCTTCTTCCTTCTCTTTCTCCCTAGGACCCCTAATTCCCAACAGTGCCACTCTCCAGCCCCAGAGAATTTATTAGTGTTCCTTCCTCAATGAATTGAATGGGTCCTTTGCACAACCTTAGTCTCTGGGGCCTAAGGTATGGTCTACCTTTTCTTTTCTTTCTTTTTTTTTTTTTTTTTTTCGAGACGGAGTTTTGCTCTTGTTGCCCAGGCTGGAGTGCAATGGCGCGATCTCAGCTCACCGCAACCTCCGCCTCCTGGGTTCAGGCAATTCTCCTGCTTCAGCCTCCCGAGTAGCTGGGATTACAGGCACGCGCCACCATGCTCAGCTAATTTTTTGTATTTTTAGTAGAGACGGGGTTTCACCATGTTGACCAGGATGGTCTCGATCTCTTGACCTCATGATCCACCCACCTCGGCCTCCCAAAGTGCTGGGATTACAGGCGTGAGCCATCACGCCCGGCCTTGGTCTACCTTTTCAATAATGACAGTAGTCTTCAGGAGCCAGCATCCCAGCCATAGTGGCTTAATGACAGGAAGTTCAATTCTAGATGAAGGTAGCACCTGGTAGGACTTGGGGGACATTTGTGAGCTTTTACTCTCCCAAAGATTGCTTCTTAAGTTATTCCTGCCTAGGCAGTTGACTGCTCTGCCTACACACATCCCAGTTGGCAATTTAACTTAATATTTTTCAAAGAGCAGAGGTTTTTGCCCTGGCTGGAATGTAGTGGAATGATTATATTATCACTGCAGCCTCAAATTCCTGAGCTCAAGTGATCTTCCTGCCTCAGCCTCCATAGTAGCTGGGACTACAGGCATCAGCCACCATGCCCAGCTAATTTTTAAATTTTTTGTGAGGACAGGATCTCACTGTGTTGCCCAGGCTGGCCAAATATCTATTTTCAGAGAGAAAGAACAGAATCAGTCAGTGCCTATTTCTGAATCCCTATTATATGCAAGGTGCCGTGTGCACTGAAGGCTAAAAAAGACATCTGAGAAACCAACATGGTCCCTGTCCTCAAATTTGTTTTTAATATATTTGTGAAGAAGAACCTGAAAAGTTATAGGACAGCATAAGGAGAATGCACCGTGCATTAAATATAGGCCAAATGTGTACTTCAATCTTGAAGGCAGGAAAGAAGGCTGCTGGAGAAGCCAAGGAAACCCTCAAAGAGGAAGTAGAATGCAATCTAGTCTTCAAGGTTGGGGAAAAGTTGGCTCAGCAGAGAGAAGCACATTCCAGACTGAAGGAATAGCATAGGCAGAAGGGCAAGAGAGGAAAACACAAAACCTGTGCAGAGCCTAGTGGGTGGGCTAAGCCAGCTAAGACGGGGTGAAGGTGGGGCTCAGACAGGGAACCACAAGAGACAAGCTGGGAAAGGGATGTGGGGCCAGACCAGGGAGGGCAGCAGAGGAATGCTACCCTGGAGGGAACATTTTAAGTTGTTTTGGTGATTGAGGGATGCATCTAACACTCAGTAGACAGGGCCCAGAATGTAAGACAGTCCTATATGGAACAGGTGTGTGCCATGAGGAGCAGTTTCTGACTTCCTTACTTCTATCAGCTATCTATTGCTGCGTAACAACCATCCTCAAATTTAGTGGGCAAAAGCAGCAGCAGTTGTAATTATAATCCTCATGACTCTGTAGGTTGGCTGGCTGTTCCTTTTTTCTATTTTTTCTTTTTGAGACAGAGTCTCACCATCACCCAGGCTGGAGTACAGTGGTGCGATATCGGCTCACTGCAACCTCCTCCTCCTAGGTTCAAGCAATTCTCCTGCCTCAACTTCCCAAGTATCTGGGATTACAGGCACATGCCATTGGACCCAGCTAATTTTTGTATTTTTGTAGACACAGGGTTTCACCATGTTGGCCAGGCTGGTCTCAAACTCCTGACCTCAAGTGATATCCCCACCTCAGCCTCCCAAAATGCTGAGATTGCTGATGTGAGCCAACACACCTGGCCAGTCTTAGGAATATATATATATATATATATATATATATATATATATATATATATATGTATATATAATTTATATATAAAAATTCACTGTTGTGTATGCCCTGGATTTTAGGCATCTGGGACACAAGGTAGGGACTGGCTGAAATGACTCAAGAGGGGCATGAAAAAGGAATGTGAGCCCTCCTATGTGAAAGGGTGTGACAGAGGGGTTGGATGGGAGAGAATAAAGATAAGACACTCCAGGAAGGAGGCGTGACAGGACCTGTGGTTGGTTGATGGGAGCCAGGCCTGCTGAGGAGGAAGGCATCCTCTCTCTGTCCTTTTCCTCCTTGCTAGCACGGCAGTACATCTTAGAACACAATGAAGAAACACATATGAGCTCCTAGTCTTCCCAGGGAGCTTGTCATTCCTTGAATCAGCTGGTCCCCAGGAACATCACTCTGTTGCTGAGGTCACCATCGTGGACAGGAGGGCTGGGGTCCCTCAGAGGGTGGGAAAGTATGCCAGCTGCTTGGGAACTGCAGGGGGAAGGACACAGCTGACCCATTCTCTCCTGTGCTTGGTCTCCAAGTACAACCCCCTTAACCTCACAGCGCTGGACTGGTCCCTACTGAGCAAGAAAGAGTGTCTGAGCTATGGCGGGCGCCTGCTTGGGAACTCCTGCAAGTTCATCCCAGACCTGGCACTCATGTCCTTCATCCTTTTCTTTGGGACATACTCCATGACCCTGACCCTGAAGAAGTTCAAATTCAGCCGCTATTTTCCTACTAAGGTAAGCTCATCCTGCTGTTAGGAGGGGACCTGCAGTCAGACCACTGCTGAGTTCCCCAGAGAGGGTTCTGGTCCACTGTCAGGATGGACTCCACATGAGCACTGGCTCACTGGGGTTTTTCAAGTTAAGTCAGAAAGAACTGGGTTCCCTTGTTGGCCAGTCCCCTTGACAACACTTGGTATCGTCAGGCTTTTATCTTTAGTCTTTTTGTGTAGTAGTATCTCGGTTTTTTGTTTTTTGTTTTTTTAATTTTTCACTTTCCTGATGATTAATGAAAGTGAAAACACAGCTATTCCTGTACTTATTGACCATATGGCCAGCTGACTTTCTTTTTGGAAGTACCTATTGAAATCTCTTGCACATTTTCTTTTTTTTTTTTTAGATGGAGTCTCACTCTGTCTCCCAGGCTGGAGTGCAGTGATGCGATCTCAGCTCACTGCAACCTCTGTCTCCCAGGTTCAAGTGATTCTCCTGCCTCAGCCTCCCGAGTAGCTGGGGTGACAGGCACCTGCCACTATGCCCGGCTAATTTTTGTATTTTTAGTAGAGATAGGGTTTCACTATGTTGGCAAGGCTGGCCTCGAACTCTTGACCTCAAGCGATCTGCCTGCCTTGGCCTCCCAAAGTGCTGGGATTACAAGCATGAGCCACCGCACCTGGCTCTTGCATATTTTCTATTAGGTTGTCTGCCTTTCTGATTTGCAAGAGTTCTTTATATCTTTTTGGGTAGAAATGTTTTTGTGACTACATGGGTTATGAAATCTTCTCCCACTCTGTGACTGTTTTTCTCTTTTTACATCCTTAATAGTATCTTTTGATTAACAGAAATTCTTAGTTTTATTGTAATTGAATATATGAAACTTTCCTCAAGGAAAATATTGGGCAGAAGATATTCTTGTATGTTACCTTCTAAAAGCTTCATTGTTTTTCCTTTCATGTTAGATCTACAATCCATCAGAACTGATTTTGATGTAGACTGTGAGATACTGTTTCTTTGTGATTTTATATAAATAGTCAATTGTTCCATCATTTTTTAAAGACCATTCTTTCTCCATTGCTTTTGCAATACTTCCTATACTATATATAAAATATTCCTATATGTCAGGGTCTGTTTCTGGGTTCTTTATTCTGTTTTACCAGTTTATTTATATATCAGTATCACAGTCTTAATTTCTGTAGCTTGTAACTCTTTATATGGTTGTCTCCCAAACTTTCTCTTTGTCCTTTTTTTTTTTTTTTTTTTTTTGAGACGGAGTTTCGCTCTTGTTACCCAGGCTGGAGTGCAATGGCGCAATCTCGGCTCACCGCAATCTCCGCCTCCTGGGTTCAGGCAATTCTCCTGCCTCAGCCTCCTGAGTAGCTGGGATTACAGGCACGCGCCACCATGCCCAGCTAATTTTTTGTATTTTTAGTAGAGACGGGGTTTCACCATGTCGACCAGGATGGTCTCGATCTCTTGACCTCGTGATCCACCCGCCTCGGCCTCCCAAAGTGCTGGGATTACAGGCTTGAGCCACCGCGCCCGGCTCTTTGTCCTTTTTATGTAATATTTTCTTGGCCCTTTCCATTTCCACATGAATTTTAGAATCATCTTAAATTTCACCAAAATAAAAACTTGTTGGAATTTTGATGGGATTATCTTGACTCTGTATGTCAATTTGGGAAGAATTCACATCTTTCAAATTTTGAGTGTTCTGATTTATGAGTATGGTATACTTCATTTATTTTTGTCTTCTTTCTCTCCATAATGTTTTATATGTTTTGATCTTGAAGTCTGGAACATTTTTTATTAGATTTATTCCTAGGTACTTGATTTTTTTATACTATCATAAAAGCTAACTGCTATTTAATTTATTATTATTTTTTTTTTGAGACAGAGCCTCACTCTGTCACCCAGGCTGGAGTGCAGTGGCGTGATCTCAGCTCACTACCACCTCCACCTCCCAAGTTCAAGTGATTCTTCTGCCTCAGCCTCCCAAATAGCTGGGACTACAGGCGCCTACCACCACGCCCAGCTAATTTTTGTATTTTTAGTTGAGACAGGGTTTCACCATGTTGGCTAGGCTGGTCTTGAACTCTTTACCTCAGGTGATCTGTCCATCTCAGCCTCCCAAAGTGCTGGGATTACAGGTGTGAGCCACGGCACCCAGCCCTAACTGCTGTTTTAAATTTTATTTTCTACCTGTTTGTGGCTGGAATAAAACATTTATTAATCAAAACAGCACTTGCATATGTAAGCAATGACTATGCCCTGGTGGGGGTACTTGGAAGAATCTTAGCAACACTTTCCCATCGTAAACTCTATTACACTCCCCTAAAGCCATCTTAACTAAATATTGCAGCTGCTACTGCTTCTAATCATAATGATAAAATATCTGCTATAAATAGTTGAATTATTCTCAAATTTCCTAAAGACTGAATAAAAGGCACCCTAGGGAGCTCCGTAGTATATAAACTGAGTAAAAAATGATTTGCTCACAGCACAAGTGCATCCTCGGGACCAGTTCTCTTCCCTCCTCCCCATTTCCAGCCCAGAGCATATCCCTAAATCTCCTCTTATGTAAAAATTCTCAAGCAGTCACTGTATCTGAAAATATCTGTTGCCTGAAGGATAAAAAGTAATTCACATGGCCTGAAGTTCTTGTATCACCAACTTTTTCCCCCCTCATATTACTTAAAAGTTGCTCACTTGCCTCCTGGAATTTTGGGTTGCAGAGAGGAATGAGGCCATACCATTTCATGCTCATCAGATTGGAAGATAAAGATCTTGGGACGCCAGGTGTTGGAGATGAAAAGCAGTAGGTAGAAGTGTAAACAGATACATCAGAGAAACTGGCACTCTCTGATTAGTTGGACCATGTGAAGTTGCCCATATCTGGTTGTTTTGACATACAAAAAATGGCAAATTCATGTGGTTTAACTTAATAAACATTCATATGGTTTTGACCTGTATGCTAGGAATATTATAGAAAAGGAATTATAAACCTAGAACACTACTTGGTTCTTCTGTGACTAATATTTATATGATCATAATAATATAAAGCTATTATTAATTTTCAACTTTTGCAATTGACTTATAGATAAAACACACAAGGCATGTGTTTACAGAGCAAGATATGAGTCTTCTCAGCTTTGACAGTGGGAAGGTCAAAGTGGAGGTATCACAGGAAGGAAGAGAGAAGGGGAGGAGAGAGGTGGTAGGAGGATAAAAGCAGTGGTCCTCACCTTGCAAGATGGAGAATAAGAGATATTAGCCAAAGCTAACGGAAAGAGAGGTTTCATTATATAACTTGAAAGTACAAAGGAAACCCATAGGAGCTTAAAATTAACTATCAAAGATTAGAAATAAGGAAAGGACAGGAGGCATAGTGTAAGTAAAGCTAAATTCTTTTTTTTTTTTTTTTTTTTTTTTTTTTTGAGACGGAGTTTTGCTCTTGTTACCCAGGCTGGAGTGCAATGGCGCAATCTCGGCTCACCGCAACCTCCGCCTCCTGGGTTCAGGCAATTCTCCTGCCTCAGCCTCCTGAGTAGCTAGGATTACAGGCACGTGCCACCATGCCCAGCTAATTTTTTTGTATTTTTAGTAGAGACGGGGTTTCACCATGTTGACCAGGATGGTCTCGATCTCTTGACCTCGTGATCCACCCACCTCGGCCTCCCAAAGTGCTGGGATTACAGGCTTGAGCCACCACACCTGGCAGTAAAGCTAAATTCTTATCAATAGATAATCCCTTAAATTAGTAAATGAAAATACTAAAGTATATGCATATTAGTTAATGATATGGAGGGAACCTCCAGAACAAGTAAAGTCAAGCAGACATAGTGGGTGGATCTGGAAGGTGGGGCTGGATTGAGAAAAAGTGAGGTGGGAGACTTTGCTTTTCCCTTAAGTCTTTTTCCACTCTGTGGGTTTTTAACCAATTACAGATATTATGTTAATAAAAATTTAAAGAGGAGAAGGGAATGCAGGGAATGAAGTCAATGTACTGTCACCTGCCCCTACCGTTCAAATTGACTTCCCTGAAAAGATATAAAAAGGGCTACAGGGTAGACATTGGGAGACCCTCTGCCATGAGACTTCTAGATATAGAGTTGATTTGGAGAGGAGGTTGGAGGACATTGATTCAGAATGGGCAGGAAGGTCAGGTTTAGAACTTGGTCTAGGAAGAGCCTCCAGGTTCAGAACCTGGCCTAGAAGGGCCGCCTGAGAAACAGAGGAACAAGAGGATCTTGGTGGACAAAAGGTCTGAGAATAGCCAATGGTCCCAGTGGAATTGGGGAGTGTCCCTCCCAGCCCAGGTGGGGTACAATAACCTGTCACAGGTTTGTAGAAGCTAAAGTTTGCTTCAGAGTTCAGCCTTTGCCCTCATTACATCTGCTGGATAAGAGTCATTACACCTCTCGAGCAAAGTCCAGATTCGAGCCTGGTTCTGCTACCTTCAGAGCCTAGACTGTAACAGTTCACCTCTTTGCTGCCTGAGGACTGGGGCTAACTGGAGCCGGGTGGGTGCTTCACTCACTTGCTTTCACTTGCTCATCTCCTGTCTGCAGGTCCGGGCCCTGGTGGCTGACTTTTCCATTGTTTTCTCCATCCTGATGTTCTGTGGAATCGATGCCTGTTTCGGGCTGGAAACCCCCAAGCTGCACGTGCCCAGTGTCATCAAGGTTTGCTCCTTGCCCCCCATCTGGGCATCCAGTCTGCCTACCCACCAGCTGCAGATTCTTTCCCCTCTGTGATGATCAAACTCTCTTCTCTCAGCCGAGAGACCGTGTTAGCTCTCTGTCTGTGCACCACCTTTCCTGAACACTGGCTCCCAGGAGCCAATCCTTTGAGGTAGGGTGGGGAAGGGTGACATATTCACCATGAAATCCTGATCTGTAGCCATGAGGTGAGGAAGGCACTGGAATTCACCCTCCAACCAAGTGGAAGCCTCTTGATTCCTGTTTGAAGTTCTTCAGTTCCCTGACCTCTGGCAGTCTACAAGCTGGCCCAGATGGAATCTGTTGAAACTGATCCCTTAGAATAGTGATTCTTAAAGTGTGATCTTCAGACCAATATCACAGCATCGCAGTCAAGGGGAACTCATTAGAAATGCAATTTCTCAGTCCCACCTGTGGAATCAGGAAAGCTGGGGGTTGAACCAGCAGTCTGCATTTTAACAAGCCCTTCAGGTGACCTGGAGTATGCTCAAGTTTGAGAACCACTGCTTAGAAATTACTCACTAGTCCAGAATTGGTGACATATGCTTGTAGCTAAACTCAGACCTACTCTCTCATAAGAGCACCAACCATCTCACCAGAGTAGGAAGTCCAAATGTCCAGATTCTAGAACTTCCCCTCCCTGTCTTTAAGGTCTTTTTTTTTCTTTGTGTTTTTTTAGGCAAAGTCTCACTCTGTTGCCCAGGCTACAGTGCAGTAGTGCAGTCACAGCTCACTGCAGCCTGAACTTCCTGGACTCAAGTGATCCTCCTGCCTCAGCCTCCCAAGTAGCTGGAACTATAGGTGCATACCACAACACCCAGCTAATTTTTGTATTTTTTTGTAGAGATGGAGTCTCCCTATGTTGCCCAGGCTGGTCTTTAACTCATAGGCTCGAGTGATCCTCCTGCCAAAGTGCTGGGATTACAGGCATGAGCCACCCTACTCAGCTTCTGAAGTCTTGACCTTCAACATATTATTGTTTCGAGGTTCTCCTAAGGAGCTTAAACACATCTCATTTAACTCATGTTGGCCTGGAAATTAAAGTAACTCTTTTTTTTTTTTTTTCCTTAAATAAAAAAAAAAAAAGATAAAATTCAACCCAGCTCCTGCACAGATAGTTCCTCATCCTTAACATGCAGAACTGAACTGATGTTCGGCGTTCTACAGACAATTCTAGAATGTTCTCAGGAGAGGCAGAAGCAGCTGGCCCTGAGCCCACCCATTTCTTTATTTTCTGTTGGGCCTCATTTCTGCTGTTTGTTATTTGCAGTGAGTGCATTCTCTCTCCTGGCTGTCCTCTGATCCACACTTCCGTGTTTCCTGCCCAATCTCGGGGCTATTGCAGCAAATTACCTCCTTAGTTTTACAGACACTGTCTGCATACATGCTCCTTCCCATGTCTGAATTTAGTCTAAAGTTGCAGGTACCTAATGTGTTTAAGGGAAAAGATTTCACTTGAAAAGTACCCCAGGTCAGGGAAAGTCGAGGAGGTGGGACAGCAGACCAGGTGGCAAGTGCCCTGGGACAAGCGAGAGAGGAAAGGTCCCCTCTCTGTTTGCTCCCACTTAGCCCACACGGCCTGACCGAGGCTGGTTCGTGGCCCCCTTTGGGAAGAACCCGTGGTGGGTATACCCAGCAAGCATCCTGCCTGCCCTGCTCGTGACCATCCTGATCTTCATGGACCAGCAGATCACTGCCGTCATTGTCAACCGGAAGGAGAACAAGCTGAAGGTAAGGCCGGTACTAGGAACAGAGGGGTAACCTCTTTCTTCCCAGAAAGTCAGAAGGAGCAAAGGAAGACCATGATGCTTCTTTCAATGCTTTGGGCCAGGAAAATATGAGGACAGAAGACTGGAGTTCCCACTTGGTGTGTTGAGGGGGAAATGTGACCTCCGGATGTGGGTAAGGCCACCAGGGCTGGAGTGACTTTCTGAGGACCAGGACCAAACTAGGCTGAGCCACTGGGCACAGGCTCCCTGTCTTTCCCAAAGTGGCCTTGAGTTCTTATCCCCCAACATGAACCTGAAAATCAGCAGATCCTGACGGGGGCACAGCCTAGAACACTGAGGCAGAGGAACTTCCTTAGCCTTCTTGGCCTCTGCAACTCCCCACCCAGCCTGTGAGCCTGAGAAGACTTGGGCCACCTCCTTCCCCATCTCAGTCTGGATCACTCTAGGTGTGGCCTATCCCAGCTGCGGTCCCTCACTCAGGAACTGCAGAGACCCTGTGGCCACCTTCTGGGCTTTTCTTCCCAGAGATCCAAACCCAGGGCCTCTCCAAGCTTGAGCATCCCTCTCTTCCATTACCTATGTTACTTAGGCAGCTCACCCTTTCAGATGGGGTGGTGGTGGGACCCACCCACCTCTGCAGTCCTTGCAAGGTGCACCTCAGGCCTTGTCAGTATCCTCTGGAAGGCAGGGGGAGCCCTTGAACAATGTTCCACAGAATGGCTGCTTCCAGAAGGAACAAGCTCCCCAGAAACTTCTCCCTTCCCTCCCCTACCCCTACAGAAGGCAGCTGGCTACCATTTGGACCTGTTCTGGGTGGGCATCCTCATGGCCTTATGCTCCTTTATGGGGCTCCCCTGGTATGTGGCTGCCACGGTCATCTCCATTGCCCACATCGACAGCCTCAAGATGGAGACGGAGACCAGTGCCCCTGGGGAGCAGCCCCAGTTCCTGGGAGTCAGGTAGGAGGGGTCAAAGCCTAGGGAATACCTGACAGGGAGGGGTTCACTCAGGGAGGGGAAGCTGGCTTTGCCTGTCTCACCAAAGGATTTGGACAAAAAGGGCCCGTGCTCTGATGGCCCAAGAACCACAGGGACAGGAGTGCTATCCCTGGAGGGAGGGAAGGAGAGAGACAGAAGTCCAACTCTAAGTGGGGCTTTTTACCTACTAGATTCCAAGCAGTACACATACCCCAGCCATAAACATACATGGACATGTGCACCAGACACTCACCTGCATCGGCCATCGAAGGTCCCACACAAGGCCTTGTGCTATCCTGCCCTTTTTTCCTTCCTCAAGACCCTGCAAGCCCCTACTGCCCCCACAGCCCTCCTTGGGCTCAGGTCTTGCTTGGTCTCCTCAGAAGGCTATCCCAGGACCACCCGTGCTCCCCAGTCTGTGACCCTGCCTGTCACTCCTGTTCCTTCACTTGCCCCTTCTCTCATGTGCCATGTTAGGCAGAGAAGTGCATCTTAAGCCCCTTAGGGCCTCCAAGGTGAAACCACACCAAACCCTGGCGTTCTCCTACATGACTGCCCGAAGTAATTCTCCCACTATCTCGGGATACCTGGACTGCCCAGCCTGCCCGAATGAGGCTTCTCTGCCCAACTGCAGGGCTCACTTACCTCCCACCCCTGATACCTGTTCTGCTGGTAGCCAGACCCCCTTCTCCAGATCCTCAATCATTGTGCCCCACAAAAGTGAGATCTTACAATCAAAGGGCAGAGTAATAGCATTTATCTCGAATGCATCCTCAACAATAGGTGCCACTATTACTGCATATACTGAGGCTCAAGATGGGCAGAGCCCTGCCCAATGCCGCATAACTAGCTAGTGGCAGAGCCAGGATCCAGCCCACATCAGTTCTACTCAAGTACCCCAGCTGTGAGCCACTACACTGAATAGCCCTCAGTGCCCCTGCAAGATACCCCCAGTCAGGGGCCGCCTGTCTTCCCACATATGGTTCAGCTGGGCCTCAGGGAACCAGGCAGAGCTCCATGCAGAAGACCTCGAGGCCATGGCCTTGGACACAAGCTTCAGGCGCCCACAGAAGGGCAGGCATTTCCTGGTACACCCTGACCATGTGCTCTTCTCTGCCAGGGAACAGAGAGTGACTGGCATCATCGTCTTCATCCTGACGGGAATCTCTGTCTTCCTGGCTCCCATCCTGAAGGTGAGGCCCTGCACTCTCACCCAGGGCCTCGTCGTCTAAGAAAGCAGAGTGAATGCCTCAGGCAGGGAGAGGGTCTCCACATAGCTAGGGATCACTGGTCTATCAGCCCCCTAAGAAAGGCATGGTCTTCGCCGGGCATGGTATCTCACACCTGTAATCCCAGCAGTTTGGGAGGCTGAAGCAGGCGGTTCACCTGAGGTCAGGAATTCAAGACCAGCCTGACTAACATGGTGAAACCCCGTCTGTACTAAAAATTCAAAAATTATGCGGGCGTGGTGGCACATGCCTGTAATTCCAGCTACTCAGGAGGCTAAGGCAGGAGAATCGCTTGAACCCAGGAGGCGGAGGTTTTGGTGAGCCAAGATTGCGCCATTGCACTCCAGCCTGGGCAACAAGAGTGAAACTCCATATGAAAAAGAAAGAAAGAAAAAGGCACAGTTTTATTAGGCCAAAGTAATATTTCCACGCTGTCACCATTGTTTTCTGTGATACTGCAGTTATTTTGTTGTTGTCGTTTTGTTTTGTTTTGTTTTTTGAGACAGAGTTTTGCTCTCATTGCCCAGTCTAGAGTGTAATGGCATGATGTTGGCTGACCACAGCCTCTGTCTCCTGGATTCAAGCGATTCTCAGCCTCTCGAGCAGCTGGGATTACAGGCATGCGCCACCACACCCGGCTAATTTTGTATTTTTAGTAGAGACAGGGTTTCTCTGAGTTGGTCAGGCTGGTCTCGAACTCCCAACCTCAGGTGATCTGCCCACTTCAGCCTCCCAAAGTGCTGGGATTACAGGCATGAGCCACCGCACCCAGCCAATATTGCAGTTTTTTATCATCACCAATCCTCTTTCCCACGCCTTCCAGGGCCACTCTCACCTTTCTGGAAGATACTCTTCCCTCCAAACGTTCTGCCAAGCTCTAGCCCTGCTTAGATCAGGAACTTCCTGAATGGGGTGTGTGTCCACATTGCTGTGGTTTGGGGCTCATGAAGTTTAAAACTTGCAGTGGGAGGCCAAGCATGGTGGTACAGGCCTGTAGTCCATCTACTCAGGAGGCTGAGGCAGAAGGATCACCTGAGCTCAGGAAGTCTTGGGACTTGGGTAACTTTTCCCTACCCAGCTTGAAGCTCCTCTTGCTCATGTCCCACCACAAGAGCTAAGAGACTAAATCAAATAGGGGTGCAATGGAGGCAGGCATCCCCCACAAGAGTTTCTTTTTGGAGAGACTCCAAAAAGCAAGGTGTTCCCAGCAGATTTCCCTGCTCTCCACTCCAGCCAATCGTCCATCAGTCTCCCTTTCCCTTGATCAGTGCCCACACAAGACTTTCCTTTCTTGAATTAAGTTTACCTGTAATTGCCTCAACCTTTTGCCGATACTATTTTCCCTCTTTGAATATCTCAAAACAGCTCATAACCAGGCATGGTGGCTCATGTCTGTAATCCCAGGACGTTGGGAACCCAAGGTAGAAGGATCACTTGAGGCCAGGAGTTCAAGACCAGTCTGGGCAACATAGTGAGACACCCCATCTCTACAAAAAATACAAAAATTAGCCAGGCATGATGGTGCATGCCTGTGGTCCCAGCCACTAGGGAGGCTGGGGCGTGAAGATCACCTGAGCCCAGGAGGTCAAGGCTTCAGTGAGCCGGGATCATGCCACTGCACTCCAGCTTGGGCAACAGAGTGAGAGCTCATCTCAAAATAAAAAAAAAAAAATTCATTCAGAGGTGATCTTTTAGAAACGAAGGCTAAAGAATCTTGATGCTAGCTGATGTATTTACAATGGAAAATATTTCTGGCTTGAGAATTGGTGCTAGGCTTACCTGAGCAGTAGGTAGGAGCCTAGTATTTTTTAAGGAATATTTCCCCTGCGGGGGAAACAAATTACACACAGGAAGGCAAGCATTCTGTTTATTTAAAGATATATTTTAAATGGCCAGGGACTATTTACTTTTGTAGAGAGGGTTCCATTGTGTATGTCTATTTTGACACTGTTTAACATAGAAGTATTTGCATTAAAAAGCTTAAATCAGGCCTGGCATGGTGGTTCAAGGCTATAATCCTGGCACTCTGGGAGGCTGAGGCGAGTGGATCACCTAAGGTCAGGAGTTCAAGACCAGCCTGGCCAATATGGTGAAACCCCATCTCTACTAAAAATACAAAAATAGCCATGTGTGGTGGCACAGGCCTGTATCCCAGCTACTCAGGAGGCTGAGACAGGAGAATTGGTTAAGCCCAGGAGGTGAAGGCTGCAGTGAGTTGAGATCCCACCACTGCACTCCAGCCTGGACAAGACAGAGTGAGATTCTGTCTCAAAAAAAAAAAAAAAAAAATCCAAATCTACCAGGCATGGTGGCTCACATCTGTAATACTGACACTTTCGGAGGCTGAGGTGGGAGGATCACTTGAGGCCAATAGTTTGAGACCAGAATGGCAAACATAGCAAGATTCTGTTTCAAAAAAAACAAAAACAAAAACTCAAATCTAAGAACAGCATTCTTTAGGGGCCAAAAATTCCTCTAAAGCCCTTTTAGTGTTGGCATAGTGCTCTGTGTGCTCCAGAGTGCTCTAACATGACTGCAAGGAGGAGCATCCTCTGCTCACCATGGGGAGCCACAGCTGCAGGTGAAGAAGAGGTGACAGACAGAAACAACTGAGATAGCGGAAGAATGCTTTGAAAGGCTGTGAAAGATTTGGAATCACTCTTGTAGAATGGGATGAATTCCATGATCCCATGTTTGAAAAAGCAAACAAGCTGCCTGTGTGCAAGTTTGGAGGGTAGGGTACCCACCAAACTATTTGTGGTTAGTTGGTGATGAGTGCTGATTAGTTTACATACTTCTGTTTTGCTTCCTTTTTATGTGATTGTGTATGCTGCACGATTTCCGTTTTTTTTTTTTTTTTTTTTAGACAACGTCTCTGTCACCCAGGCAGTGGCATGATCTCAGCTTGCTACAACTTCCATCTCCTGGGTTCAAGTGATTCTCCTGCCTCAGCCTCCCAAGTTGCTGGGATTACAGGCATGTGCCACCATGCCCAGCTAATTTTTTTTTTTTTTTGTATATTTAATAGAGATGGGGTTTCACCATGTTGGCCAAACTGGTCTCAAACTCCTGACCTCTGGTCATCCAGCCACCTGGCCTCCCAAAGTGCTAGGGCTACAGGTGTGAGCCACCATGCCTGGCCTGATGTATGATTTCCGTTAAGTGTCCTTGGTATTCCCTGCTGATGTAGGTCGGCTCATTAAAGGTCCCTACACCGCTGCAGGCTGAGCAGCTTTAAGGGGCCCTCAGCTGAGGCTGGAGGTAGGAAAAAGCTGTCAGGAATGAGAAAGGGGCAGTCTGTGGCACCTTCTCACTTTCCAGAAGGTGTTTCTTCAGCCAGACCACATGGCTTCTATATGGCACAATGGCACAATGAGGGGCCAGGCCAGGAGAGCAGCCACATGCTGGGCCAGGCACCCCTACCAGAGAAGGGGCAGTACAGTCCCAGTGACCCTCATCTCCACCCCCCTCCACACCCTAGCTCTGCTGACTCTTGGTTCTCCAAAACATCCAGCTCCCAAGCTGCCTCTGTAGTCAGGAGACACCATCATCCAGAACAGGGTGGCCAAGGGCCCGCCCCAGGCAGAAGCCAATCCAAAGTTCTGCTCTCATTTTAGTGCATCCCCCTGCCGGTGCTGTACGGAGTCTTCCTCTACATGGGCGTGGCCTCCCTGAATGGCATTCAGGTAAGGCTTTCCCTCCCTAGTCTGCATACCTGGAGTCATTATTCCATGTCTGGTTCCATGTCACCAAGAGCCCCCAATTCAGTTGTCCCCATTGTCCCCAATTGTCCTAATTCAGTGAAAGAAAAATAGTAATGATACTGTTGCTTACTGATACTACCAGGCAAAATAACTATGCTAGGCACTTCATCGGCCTTATATAATTTAATCTATGTAATTAGGTTATCTGATCCCCATTTTACAGTTGGGGATGGGAGGGTCAGAATTCAAAATCCAGAAGGAGCTGACTCCAGTGAGCATTTCACTGTACCTCTCTCTCTTCCCTAAGGCAACTACACAGAAGAAAGCATTTTTGTTTTGTTCTGTATTTACCATGAAATCCCAGAATTCTTAAACAGTTTATGTTACAATTAACTTGCACTTTCCTTGAATATGGACAGTGTTCATTTTCTAGCCAGCTCCAGGGCTCTTCCCCTCACCCAGCGCTCAGGACCCTTTCTCTAAGACCCCATTATGTATCTGTCTAGATACCTCCAGCTCCCCTCCCATGCATCCTTAAGGCTGGAGCAGGGGGTTTCCCCTCTGAGACCCCACCCAGGAACCCCTTCCCCTAGTACTGGGGCCCAGCAGGCCCTCAGAGCCCAGCTACCTGGCTGAGCCCACACTGTCCCCCTAGTTCTGGGAACGCTGCAAGCTCTTCCTGATGCCAGCCAAGCACCAGCCGGACCACGCCTTCCTGCGACACGTGCCGCTGCGCCGGATCCACCTCTTCACCCTGGTGCAGATCCTCTGCCTGGCCGTGCTCTGGATCCTCAAGTCCACGGTGGCTGCCATCATCTTCCCAGTCATGGTAAAGTGGGTGCGGGCTTCCTCCTCCTGCCCAGCAGGTTGGCCTGGGCAAGAGGTGCAGCTCAACCTCCCCTCCCACCATCTTCTGCCTTCCCGTCAGCTGTGGCCTGGCTCCCTTGGGTCACAGAGGCTGGCACAGGATGACCCGATTTGAATTGTGAGTCCAGGCCAGATGGTGTGGGGTGGGGCAGAGAGGAGGCTGAGGAAGGAATGTCAGGGCCGCTCAGCGAGAACGCAGGAGTCACCCAATCTCCTGGCTCCAGGGAGGGACAGAGAAAGCAAATCAGTTCAACCAGGAGTTCCCACTGCCAAAATTCCAACCAGTCTCAGAAGTCGATGCGTGCTAAATATAGATCTTTCCATCACTCAAGATAGCTAAATTTGAAAAGCTAAATAGTGAAGTAGGGGGGTGGGGGAAGAACTAGGGTCAGAGATCAAGAACATCAAAACCCAATGACAATATATATAAAGCTTGAGCTTGGGAAAGGTTACAGTTCTTTCACTATTCTTGCAAATATTATATAAGTTTGGATTCGAAGTGAAAAGAACACAAAGCCAAAAACACATTGCATTTGCCCTCTAGATAACGCACTGAGGGCACTGGCCCAAGCCCTTGCCAGGCACCTGGAGTGTGTCAGTGAATGTCTGGGGAAAGCCTGAGGGCTCTGGGGCAGGGGCCAAAGTAAGTACACTGAGGGGAACTTGGAGTGCGCACTCCTAGGAGGGTCTAGTCAACAGTCTCGACCCTGGCTGCCCATGAAAATCAACCCAGACCACTCAAATCAGGATCTCTGGGACATCCAGACTTTGGTATTTTTATGGTCTACAGGTGAGCATAAACGTGCAGCCAGAGTTGAAAACCCCCACTGCAGGCAAAGGGAGATAGATCCTCCCCCTAGTGCCCTCATGGGCCTCAGAGCTGGCGAAGGGAAAGGCAGTAGCAGTCTTGATTAGCCTTTGCTGAGTGCTGTTCCATTGAGTCCATACCAGCCCCCCAAGCACTAGTAACCCCGCTTTACAGATGAGAAAGTGAGGCTCAGAGAGCATGAGCGAGTGACTCTGGACACACAACCAGGCAGGGCAAAGCAAGACCTGCATCCCCCACCTATTGATTTTTTTTGGTTGAATTTGCATACGGTAAAATTCAATGTGTGGTTCTATGAGTTTTGGCAAATGAACAGAGTGGTGGTTTCACCACCAGTCACAATACAGAACAGCTCCAAAAGTTCCCCCTTGCTGCCCCTATGCAGACAGCTTCTCTTGCCACCCTTGCTGCTAGCAACCACCAAGTTGTTTTCAGAGCCAGGATTCTTAAAACCCAGTTCTGTCTGACGCCCCCAGGCTGTACTTGCTCCCAAGTAGTGTCAGGGAGGAACCAGTATCAAATCCAGATGAATGTTCTTGTTGGGGAAAGGACCATACACATCACAGCCATCCTGGGCCACTGAGCTTATTCTCTCTCTCTTTTTTTTTTTTTTTTTTTTTTTTTTTTTTGAGACGGAGTTTCGCTCTTGTTACCCAGGCTGGAGTGCAATGGCGCCATCTCGGCTCACCGCAACCTCCGCCTCCTGGGTTCAGGCAATTCTCCTGCCTCAGCCTCCTGAGTAGCTGGGATTACAGGCACGCACCGCCATGCCCAGCTCATTTTTTGTATTTTTAGTAGAGACGGGGTTTCACCATGTTGACCAGGATGGTCTCGATCTCTTGACCTCGTGATCCACCCGCCTCGGCCTCCCAAAGTGCTGGGATTACCGGCGTGAGCCACCGCGCCCGGCCCACTGACCTTATTCAAAGGTCAAATTTGAATCCTCCCCAAAGAACACTGCTTTTCCTTTACTTTCTTCATCCTGAACAGAACCAACTTTCTAAGCTTTCCCTTTAAAAATCCAGTTATTACAGTATACTTTATCCAACTTCTGTTAACAAAGAAGGCAGCAGCTCTCAGAATTGGAGGCAGGACAGTGGGTCTCAAAGTGTGACCTCTGGACCAGCAGCATGAACATCACTGAGAAATTGGTTAGAGACATAAATTTTCGGGCCTTACCTGACCTGCTAAATCAGAAACTGGGGGAATCCAGCAATTTGTGTATTAACAAGCCCTCCAGGTCCTGGTGCATGCTTAAATTTGAGAACCAGTAATTTATTATTTATTTATTATTATTTTTTGAGACAGAGTCTTGCTCTGTTGCACAGGCTGGAGTGTAGTAGCATGATCTCAGCTCATTGCAACCTCCACCCGCCAGGTTCTAGCACTTCTTCTGTCTCAATCTCCTGAGTAGCTGGGACTACAGGCATGCACCACCACACCTGGCTAATTTTTGTATTTTTAGTAGAGACAGCATTTCACCATGTTGGCCAGGCTGGTCTCGAACTCCTGACCTCAGGGATTTGCCTGCCTTGGCCTCCCAAAGTGCTGGGATTATAGGTGTGAGCCACCGTGCCCAGCCGAGAACCACTAATTTAAAGAGTAACTGTAGTTCTCCAGCCCATGGCCTCCTCTGAGGCTCCCCACTTCAGCTGTCACAGGCTCTATCCCTCTTGGTCACTGGTAGGCACAGTCACTCACCTGAGGAGAGGCCAGGCGAGGGGAACCACAGTGGAGGGAAGGTGAATAATGGCTTATGGGAGCTTCGAGATGGCTCCAAAGACACCACAAAAAGTCCCTGAAGTCAGCCGACTGAGGGAGAAAAGAATCTATGCCTGAGTTTGGGCATTGAGGCCACAGGTTTCTCCCAACTTACAAAACTTTAGTCTCTGTCGCATCTCCTGCCACAGATCCTGGGCCTCATCATTGTTCGAAGGCTTCTGGATTTCATCTTTTCCCAGCACGACCTGGCCTGGATTGACAACGTCCTCCCAGAGAAGGAAAAAAAGGAGACAGACAAGAAGAGGAAGAGAAAGAAAGGAGCCCATGAGGACTGTGATGAGGAGGTGGGGAAGAAGTGAGGCCGGGGCACAGAGGAGAAATCACATGACCTTCCCTCCACTTTTGCCAGGACTAGGGAGTGGGTGGCTTCTTGGGTGGCCTCCAGCATGCCTAGGCCCAGTCCAGGATGGGCTGGGCATTTGCTCTTGGTCCGGGGTGCTGAAGGCTCTTTTGTTTATGTGAATATCCTTGGAGTGGGCCAGAGTGAATGAGACTCCTTGTCCAGGGAAAAGGTTACTAACCATGTTCACTCTTCCTTCACTATGGGCTTTACGGCCATGATCACAGCAAGTGGGTTCCTGCGGGAAGGGCCAGGAGGCAGCTCCAGCATGGAAGGAGGTTATGAAGACTGACCTCCAAAGAGTGGAGCAGGCCTGGGGAGAGGCATCTAATGGGGACTTATAGGTAGACTGGACTCCAGACAGGCAGGAGGGGCTGGGAACAAGCTTTGCTTTGCCATTGCCTAGGGTACTGGGGACAAAAATGGGGAAAGAGGCAGGTATCCTCACCAAATAGAGAGTGGCTACATTTCCCAGATGCCTAGGATAATATGGTTGCCCCATCTGCCCCCTCTTCTCCCATGCTCCCTTCCCATTTCTTTTATATATATATATATATATAATTTATTGCATTTTAGGTTCTGGGGTACACGTAAAGAACATGCAGGATTGTTGCATAGGTACATACATGGCAATGGAGTTTGCTGCCTCCATCCCCCTCACCTGTATCTGCATTTCTCCCCATGTTATCCCTCCCCAACTCCCTACCTGTTACTGTCCCTCCCCTAGTCCTGTCCACAGATCTCAGTGTGTGATGCTCCCCTCCCTGTGTCCATGTGTTCTCATTGTTCAACACCAGCCTATGAGTGAGAACATGCACTGTTTGATTTTCTGTTCTTGTGTCAGTTTGCTAAGAATGATGGTTTCCAGGTTCATCCATATCTCTACAAAGGACATGAACTCATCTTTTTTTATGGCTGCATAGTATTCCATGGTATATATGTGCTACATTTTCCCTGTCCAGTCTATCATCGATGGGCATTTGGGTTGGTTCCAAGTCTTTGCTATTGTAAACAGTACTGCAATGAACATATGTGTGCATGTGTCCTTATAGTAGAACGATTTATAATCCTTTGGATATATACCCAGTAATGGGATTGCTGGTAAAATGGAATTTCTATTTCTGGGTCCCTGAGAAATTGCCACACTGTCTTTCACAATGGTTGAACTAATTTACACTCCCACTGACAGTGTAAAAGTGTTCTTATTTCTCCACATCCTCTCCAGCATCTGTTGTCTCCAGATTTTTTAATGATCGCCATTCTAACTGGCGTGAGATGGTATCTCAATGTAGTTTTGATTTGCATTTCTCTAATGACCAGTGATGATGAGCCTCATATATGTCTTCTTTAGAGAAGTATCTGGCCGGGCGCGGTGGCTCACGCCTGTAATCCCAGCACTTTGGGAGGCCGAGGCGGGTGGATCACGAGGTCGAGAGATCGAGACCATCCTGGTCAACATGGTGAAACCCCGTCTCTACTAAAAATACAAAAAACTAGCTGGGCATGGTGACGCGTGCCTGTAATCCCAGCTACTCAGAGGCTGAGGCAGGAGAATTGCCTGAACCCGGGAGGTGGAGGTTGCGGTGAGCCGAGATCGCGCCATTGCACTCCAGCCTGGGTAACAAGAGCGAAACTCCGTCTCAAAAAAAAAAAAAAAAAAAAAAAAAAAGAGAAGTATCTGTTCGTATCCTTTGCCCACTTTGGGTTTGTTTGTTTTTTTCTTGTAACTCTGTTTTAGTTCTTTCTAGATTTTTGGATATAAGTCCTTTGTCAGATGGGTAGATTGCAAAAATTTTTTCCCATTCTCTTGGTTGCCGGTTCACTCTAACGATTGTTTCTTTTGCTGTGCAGAAGCTCTTAGGTCTGATTAGATCCCATTTGTCTATTTTGGCTTTTGTTACCAATGCTTTTGGTATTTTAGTCATGAAGTCCTTGCCTATGCCTATGTCCTGAGTGGTTTTACCTAGATTTTCTTCTAAGATTTTTATGGTGTTAGGTCTTATATTTAAGTCTTTAATCCATCTGGAGTTAATTTTAGTGTAAGATGTCAGGAAGAGCCGGGCGCGGTGGCTCAAGCCTGTAATCCCAGCACTTTGGGAGGCAGAGGCGGGTGGATCACGAGGTCAAGAGATCGAGACCATCCTGGTCAACATGGTGAAACCCCGTCTCTACTAAAAATACAAAAAGTTAGCTGGGCATGGTGGTGCGTGCCTGTAATCCCAGCTACTCAGGAGGCTGAGACAGGAGAATTGCCTGAACCCAGGAGGCGGAGGTTGCAGCCATTGCACTCCAGCCTGGGTAACAAGAGCGAAACTCCATCTCAAAAAAAAAAAAAAAAAAAAAAAAAAGATGTCAGGAAGGGGTCCAGTTTCTGCTTTCTGCACATGGCTAGCCAGTTTTCCCAACACCATTTATTAAACAGGGAATCCTTTCCCCATTGCTTGTTTTTGTCAGGTTTGTCAAAGATCAGATGGTTGTAGATGTGTGGCATTGCCTACGAGGCCTCTGTTCTCTTCCATTGGTCTACATCTCTGTTTGTTTTGATACCAGTACCATGCTGTTTTGATTACTGTAGCCTTGTAGTATAGTTCAAAGTCAGGTAGCGTGATGCTTCCCGCTTTGTTCTTTTTGCTTAGAATTGACTTGGCTATGTGGGCTCTCTTTTGGTTCTATATGAAGTTTAAGGTTTTTTTTCCAGTTCTATGAAGAAGGTCATTGGTAGCTTGATGGGGATAGCATGGAATCTATAAATTACTTTGGGCAGTATGGCCATTTTCATGATATTGATTCTTCCTAACCATGAGCATGGACTGTTTCTCCATCTGTTTGTGTCCTCTCTTATTTCGTTGAGCAGTGGTTTGTAGTTCTCCTTGAAGAGGTCCTTTACATCCTTTGTTAGTTGTATTCCTAGGTATTTTATTCTCTTTGTAGCAATTGTGAATGACAGTTCATTCTTGATTTGGCTCTCTTTAAGTCTGTTATTGGTGTATAGGAATGCTTGTGATTTTTGCACATTGATTTTATACCCTGAGACTTTGCTGAAGTTGCTTATCAGTTTAAGGAGATTTGGGGCTGAGACGATAGGGTCTTTGAAATATACAATCATGTCATCTGCAAATAGAGACAGTTTGACTTCCTCCTTTCCTAATTGAATACCCTTTATTTCTTTTTCTTGCCTGATTGCTCTGGCTAGAACTTCCAATACTATATTGAATAGAAGTGGTGAGAGAGGGCATCCTTGTCTAGTGCTGGACTTCAAAGGGAATGCTTCCAGTTTTTGCCCATTCAGTATGATATTGGCTGTAGGTTTGTCGTAAATAGCTTTTATTTTGAAATACATTCCGTCAATATCTAGTTTATTGAGAGTTTTTAGTATAAAGGGCTGTTGAATTTTGTTGAAGGCCTTCTCTACATCTATTGAGATAATCATGTGGTTTTTGTCTTTGGTCTGTTTATGTGGTGAATTAAGTTTATAGACTTGCATAAGCTACTGCAAATCAATCCCTTCCCATTTCATCCCCAAAACACTCAGGGAGTCGACAGACAAGGGACCAGTCCAGAATTATAGTGAATCACAAAACATGAGGCAGAAAGATTCTTAATATTCACGTGTTCATTACATATGATGAAACTGTCATCATATGTAATGATGACAGGAAAAGGAAGTGGCTTACCCAAAATGGACATAGAGCTAAGTTTCTAAAAGGGAATTAAGAAAATAATTCCTGACATTGCTGATTTTTGATATGCTAAGCTGCCTGTGTCATCTCCTTATGCTGTGCCTGGCTCCCGATCTCCCAATTTGACCCAAACTCATGTGCCTGCATCCACCCTGTCCTGTTCTCATGATTTTGCCTCGTGCAGCTGAAACCTGTTCAAGGCAAATCCCTTCTGATTGGGCTGGTGGTGATTAAACCATCTTCTCATCAGTCAGAACGCCCCTGGTCCTTAGTTACTGTGCTCCTCCAGGAAGAGTCCCATAATGCATATGTTTTGTAGATGATTTGTAAAGGTGGGTTCTGAAAACCAAGAAACAGAGACTAAGTGCCTTTTAAAGGCAAATACTTCTTTCATTAATTCTTTCAATAAATATTTAAGTGGCTACCACATGCCAAGAACTATTATAGGGTTGGGAAAAAGAATCTCTGAATTATATATCAATGGAAAAACAGGACTCAATTTATACAAATTCATTTTATTGTCTTTATAGCAACACAGTTATTGTGTGAAGTTCATTCCCAAGTGACTGGTTGCTGTGACAGATAAAACTGTTTTGATGATAACATTCCTGGAAGAGCTCCGCTCTGTCCAGTGGCATGTGTGGGACAGCAGGCTAACTGTGCCCATTCCCTGTCAGTGGGCCCCCGAGTGTTTGCAGCACCTGCTGTTTAGTCTAGAGGTGAAGAGAATGGTGGCTTGCACTGCCTATGGATGCATTTTTCACTTTGGCAAGAAAGCCAAGTTGTTGGCTGGGCACAGTGTCACACATCTGTAATCCCAGCAATTTGGGAGGCTAAGGCAGGTGGATCACAAGGTCAGGGTCCAAGGCCAGCCTGGCCAGCATGGTGAAAACCCATCTCTACTAAAAATTTAAAAAAATTAGCCAGGCATGGTGGTGGGCGCCTGTAATCCCAGCTACTCGGGAGGCCGAGTCAGAAGAATCACTTGAACCCAGGAGCTGGAGGTTGCAGTGAGCTGAGATCGCGCCACTGCACTCCAGCCTGGGCGATAGAGACTGGCTCAAAAAAGAAAGAAAGAAAGGAAGGAAGAAAGCCAAGTTGTTGTGTTGGTGGTGTTTATCCTCTTTTCCCGCTGTTTTTCTCCAGCCCCGGTTCCCTCCTCCCTCAGTTATAAAGATTCCCATGGAAAGTGTCCAATCAGATCCCCAAAATGGTATCCACTGCATTGCCAGTAAGTAAAACACATGATATCTCTCCCTTCCTCCTTACTACTAATCCTCTATGTCTCTCCCTGAGGAACTTTCATCTGTAACTCAGGAAGATTTAATCATTTTGGATGCTAGAGCAGCGGTCCCCAACTTTTTTGGCATAAAGGACGAGTTTTGTGGAAGATTAACTTTTGTGGAAGTGGGGAATGGCCTTGGAATGAGACTGTTCTACCTCAGATTCCCTTAAGGAGCACGCAACCTAGATCCCACTCATGCACAGTTTACAATAGGGTCCTCACCTTTATGAGAATCTATTGCCGCCACTGATCCCACTGAAGGTGGAGCACAGGAGTTAATGCTAACTCACCCATGCTCACCTCCTGCTGTGCAACTGGCTTCTGATACTGTTCCGTGACCTGGGGGTTGGGGACCCCTGTGCAACAAGACCCCTGTCCTAGGCAGAGACCAGAGAACTGGGCCACCAGGACTGGCACTCTAACCAGATGGAAGCCCCAGAGCAAAGCCTGCAGACTCGAATGACTAATCCTCACTTTAGTTGAGGAAAAATCCCTCGTTCCCTCCTTTCCCCAGATCTCTGTGGCACTGCCTGGCCCTCCTCTGTGTTAAAACCTCCTCAGTCTACACATAGCCCACTAGGCCTCCCATGTTTTCCAGTGGCTGTTGAAATGGTTGAGAGCTCAGAACCGAGCTTTCCCCTTTAGAGAAATAGGTAGCATAGTACTTAGGTTATGAGTCAGGCAACACTGGAGGTACCCGTGGTGGTTCTGCTGCGCCTCTGGGTCAATCCTCAGCACCTTCTGTCCACGGAGAGGAAGGCTGCCTGGGAGGATTGGGCATTGCTTACAGAAATTCTGGGAGTTTCTATTACTGCCTTTAAGCTGTCCCAGCCTCAGCTCCCTATAGGTGGCCAGTCCTATCATCCAGGCAACATAGCCTGTCATGAGTCTTCCAAAAGATCCCCACTTGAGTCCCAACCCCAGTGCTTCTAATAGAGGGCTTGCCGCTCTCAAAGACAGATTAGGGGAGGGTAGCCAGGGTGAGCTTCCCATTGGCACTATCCACCATAGGTACCTCAAGATCTTGAGTTTCTCAGACTCCTCCCCTGCTCACATTCATCCCTCTTCCCTGGCCCTCCCATGCCTCATACCCCCTAACCCCAGCTGAGAGCCCTGTGGGTGAAAGACTAACTAAATCAGAAGCCACACATCTCTGAGGTCCCATATTCCTCTTGCATAATGTTGGCTATAGGGTTAGAGAAGGAAAAGAGAAGAAATGGTGGGGGAAGCCCAGAGAAATATGGTGCTCAAAACTGCTCCACATCTGACATTTTCATTTTCCTGCCAGGAAAAAGATCTTCCAGTTGGAGTTACTCACTCTGATTCTTCCTTCAGTGACACAGAACTTGATCGAAGGTAAACACTGTTAGGTAGACTCCTTGGGTATTAGGTAAGAGACTAGGAAATGGCCAGGAAGGCGGAGGGTCTGGGATTTCCCAGGCTAATCATCCTGTCAGAAGGTCCTTGCTGGCCCCAACTGGGAGACAAGGGCTGGCAGACCTGACTCATTCAGAGCCAAAAAGCAAATGTGTCTTCTTACTGACATAACAGCATGGTTACAACACAAAGGTGTTCAACTTTAGCAAAGGAAATTCTTATAAAAGATTAGGTAGAACACAAATTGAAAGTACATGTTGACAAAAAGAAAACAGAAAAACTAGGCATGGCTTAAGTGTAATATCACTGAAAGCCAGGATAAATGAACACAAAGGATCAAAACCTCAGGTACTCCGTAGAATGAATGAACAGTAGGATTAATTAGCAACGGTCAGAAAGGTCATGGAGGAAAGCCAACATCCAAGATCAGGTGGAGATGGGGACTGTCTAGAATAAGTTCAAGGCCGGTTGCCAGGAGCCCCCATGCCAACAATGTGATTCTGTTCTTCACAAGAAGCCACCCATGAAAAAGGTGAGACACCCTGATGACACACAGTGGTCTCAAACACAGAAAAGAATTCAGAATCAAGAAAGCCTTTACTTCATTTTCACTTGGGAAGATGGCAGGGGCAGTCCCACTCCTACCTGGTGCCCCAGAATGGACAGGAATTAAACAGAAACTAGAGCGTAGGTTATTCCGAGTCTAGAAGCAGATCACTCCAGACACAAAGGGCACTCATCCAAGAGTTTTTTTGGGGAAACAGGGGGAAGGGGAGATTCTGATTTATAAGACAAAGCTGCTATCCCAATGCCAGGGTGAGACGACAGATTTTCCCTAGTTCAACCCTCCCTAAGGAGCAGTACCGAGGATACTCTAGCCCAGAGGTGTCACCTGTCCAGTTACATTTCTGCCTTCCTTCTCATCCCATCTCACACTGTAATACCATTATCTTTATACAGTAGTATACATGAGTGTTAGGAGAAAAAGCAGTCTATCGTGTTTTCATTTATAAAATAATCTACATGAAATTAACTGCTCCCAATTTCAGGCAGTAGAGAGAAAATTTGGACCAGGTTAGGGGTTTCCAAATGACACAAGGCCCTAAGACAAGGTCAGAAATGAAGACAATTTGATAACTGGAGATGGCATCTCCCAACCTCATTGGTGTTTTATTGAATTTGTGAAAACAGATGGAGGCAAAAACCACTAAACAGCCAGATTCTATTTCAGTGAAAGCCTCTGCAACTTGATCTGGTTTAACAAAGACTAAGCATCAGTGATCTACCAGGTGCAGTCCCCTGGAGATGTGGAAAGAAAGGCATGCAAACCTAGACAGAGCACCCTGTGCAAGAATAACAGAGCAGACGAGGACAGCAGTCTAAGGGAGGCACTAGCCTCATCTCAAGAATCTATGAAAGAAACCAGAATCTGCCAGACATAAAGTGGGACAGAGTAGAGAAAAGGCAAGCATTTTGGCTAGTGGACACAGGCCCGAAGTACCATTCGAAAACACACACACACACACACACACACACACACACACACACACCCAAAGAGCAAAGAATACTGCGATGGATAGGGCAAACTAAGCAGGCCCGACCACAAATACAAAACGCTGTGTTTGTGTTCGTAAGAAGACAGACACTCCTGTCTTCTCACGCCAAGGAGCTTAGATTCTTCTTTGAACAATCAGGAACCACCAAATTTGTGACTTAGAAAGTTCACCTTGGCAGCAATGTGAAGATAGGTCTACAGAGCGAGACCAGGTGGATGACTGTGGCTGAAGGCCAAGCCAATAGGAAACTGCTTGGTCTGGCATGTGCTGAGTTCAGAAGTGAAGACAGAACTGTTTGCATTAGAGCCCTGCTCTGGGGGATGGGTTCAAAACACCAAGAACTACATAATCCTCTTTCCTACTTCTCATTCAGCATCACCTTGCACTTCAAAATCTCCTGTCCAGCTTCACCTGCTTTCAACTACTCACGGAACCCAATGTTCATGGTGCCACAGGTGAAGATAGAGATGGAGTCAGACTATGACTTCACAGACATGGACAAATACCGAAGAGAAACTGACAGCGAGACCACCCTCTAGGATGAAGCAGCTTCAACAAGACTGGAGATGGAGGGCCTGGTTTAGTCTTAATTGAGAGGGTCTTAACTTATCTGTGCCTGTTTCCTTCTTTATCAAACAGAGGGAGTCCTGCCTAATAGAAAACTGGAGATCTGTTGATCAAAGTACTGCTTAGATGCAAAGCTCTCCCCTTCCTTTTATAGTAATGAAAATACCTAAAGCTAAATATTATATTTTATTTTAAAATGCAGTCCAGCATAGAAATTCTAACACTAAGATAAAGGGGTAATAGTCAATTCATAATTTAAAACAAATATCAATTTAAAATTGTTTAAAGGTTAGATTTAAATGTAGATGTCCTGGAACTCGTAATATACTCTATTGTTACTAGACCATCTTCGGAATATTTGGCGACTTTGCATATTAAGAAATGCTGAAAACATCCTATCTTTTCTGTCACATCCAATTTCCTAAGGGTTGTATGAAAAGTTTGAACCGGCTGGGCGAGGTATCTCACACCTGTAATCCTAGCACTTTGGGAAGTCAAGGTGGGCGGATCACAAGGTCAAGAGATCAAGACCATCCTGACCAATATGGTAAAACCCCATCTCTACTAAAATACAAAAAATTAGGTGGCAGTGGCAGCGTGTGTCTGTAGTCCCAGCTACTCAGAAGGCTGATGCAGGAGAATCACTTGAACCTGGGAGGCTCAAGAAATTGCAGTAAGCCAAGATCACGCTACTGCACTCCAGCCTGGGCAACCGAGTGAGACTCCATCTCCAAAAAACAAAGTTTTGCATTATGGCCTTGCTCCAGAAGTGTGACTGGGGCTTTCCCAGATTGAAAAGCCAGTTCCAAAACTCTGTTAATGACAGAACCAATGCGTTTGAGTGGATAAATGTTTCTAAAATAAAATAGTTCTTGTTAAAGTGAAATTTAAAACCACATGTTAAATCAACAAAATGATCATTTAAATTAGTATCACTGGTTTTTCATACCTGGAATCACATTTCTTTATACATTTGGGTAGGTCCTTCCTGCAAATTTTCAATGTTTATTCCCAAAGTCAAACTCTCATTCACACACATACAGGTTAGACAGAGGTAATGGCACATTTTACCTTAACAACTTCGCAATATTAATCAACCTAGTATTTTAAAGGAGTGATTGGAAATTACTTGGGAAGATTAAAACCAGTTTCAATGAAGCAAACCTATTCCTCATGAAACTTGAGATCAGTCGTTTTACCTTCAATCCACATTAATAAACACCAACCATGTTTATTTAATGCCTACGATGTGCCTGACAGCCACAGTGCATCTGACTTACTTTCTCCCAAACAACTGATTTGAACCTTCAGTAAATCACTTTGGTTAGAGTTGTATTTGCTGAAGATGGCAAATGCAGGTGCTTTTTTAAACAAAAATGACACTAGATCATTAATACCTTGAGTATCAGGACAGGTAATTGCCTCTGTAATTCCCCAGAGTCTAATATAGTGCCTCATCCATAGAAAGCTCTCAAAAAGTATTTGATTAATCTCAGAGCTCCCTTTCAAGGGATACTGCCAAGAGGTAAAGCTCTAAACCTCTACCATTCCTACCGACAGCAAAATTTCTTAGCTAAGCTAGCACCATCTCCTATGCTTAAGTATACATTCTTGCCAGGCACAGTGGCTCACACCTGTAATCCCACTACTTGGGAGCCTGAGGTGGGGGAATCAGTAGAGGTCAGTCAGGTCAAGACGAGCCTGGGCAACATAGTGAGACCCATCTTTAATCAAATGTTTAAAAACTAGCCAGGCATGCTGGCACAAGCCTGTAATCTAGCCATTTGGGAGGCTGAGGCAGGAGGATCATTTAAGCCCAGGAGTTCAAGGCTACAGTCAGCTATGATCATGCTACTGTACTCCAGCCAGGGAGACAGCTGGAGCCCATGTCTTATAAACAATAATAATTTTTTTTTAAATTGTCATCCGCACAAATCCTGGGGGAGCTAACAATCCACCCTTCACATTTCAGTTTTAAAACCTAGCTGATTTGTCCAAATTAAATTGTAGAAATACTATGGATTCAAGAGTAAACCTGCTTGATTAATCAGACAAGCTGGAAAACTATTGTTAATTTCTTTGTTGTAAATTGATCACTGTAATTTTACCTTACATGTCATTTGTATTTTGTATATACATGAACATTTTAACTTCCATAGCTTTTAATAGGTTGACATAATACTTCTCCATGCAGTAAGTGAATAATTTTTCCCACTTGTAACTGTAATTCAATAAAATTCAATCCTGTCTGGTCATGTTGCTCCATGTTTAACAATCTAGGTAAGTAAGCAGGCATAGCTTATAGACATGAGCTATACTTCACTTACAGAAACATCTCCAGCAAACTATCTAAACTTCTTTTAATTACAGAGAACTGTCAAGAGTAACACCAGCTGGCAGAAGAACAAGAATGGAGGTAGGTCAACTCAACTCTTTTTTCTTTCTGCTTCAAGCTGCCTAGAGGAGGAGCTACTTCTGCTTGCATGAAAGCCAAAAGCCAAAATGGTCAAGGAACCTATCCCCACCTCAAGTATTTCACAGATTAAGCTCCTAGCTTGGCACAACCTGTTAGGATATAAGACTGAAGGACTGGCCAGGTGTGACGGCTCACACCTATAATCCCAGCACTTTGGGAGGCCAAGGCAGGTGGATCACTGAAGGTCAGGAGTTCAATACCAGCCTGGCCAATGTAATGAAACCCCATCTCTACTAAAAACACAAAAATTAGCCGGGCATGGTGGCATGTACCTGTAATCCCAGCTACTTGGAAGGCTGAGGCATAAGAATTGCTTGAACCTGAGAGGCAGAGATTGCAGTGATCTGAGATCCACTGCATTCCAATCTGGACAACAGAGCGAGACTCAGTCTCAAAAAAAAAGACTGGAGGACTAGGCTGGGCGTGGGTGGCTCATGCCTGTAATTCCAGTCCTCTGGAAGGCTGCAGCAAGAGAATTGATTGCTTGAGGCCAGGAGTTTAATATCAGCCCAGACAATATAGCAAGAACCCATCTCTACATAAAAAAGAAGAAAAAAAATTATCTATTTAAGGCTATAGAAGTAAGTGTTACTGAATATAGCAGTATCTACATTGACTAGAGAAAAAAAAAAAAACTCTGGTTAGGTTGCAACTAGGAGTCATAGGAAGACAGAATTTCAGAAATTCATACCACACCAGATAGATGTATTTTATTAAAAAAGAGAAAATCTTTCATCAAAACTCTGATTAAATTCAATATTAACTCAAACTCTTAAAAATTTTCTGGAAAAGTCAACAGGGTGGATCACAGAAAAGCAGGCAGCTGCTGACAGTTCTTTGGTGGAAAAGTAAGTTGCAAGCTTACCTAAGCTGCCCAAATGATTATCAAGCCAAGTTTGTTTTTCAAAAATAGATTTAAAACTATACCAAAGAAACTATACAATTCAAAAATTTAACAATGAAGTTAAAGTATATAGCAAAAAACAAATATGACAATACACATGAATTATGTATAAAAGAAGCCTTTCAATCCTAGAAAACTAAAATCGGTAGAACTTACTGAAGGGTAACAAACATAAAATGAGGACTAATAGCAAGGAACAATCCTAAACATTTTCCCAATGACTGACTAAGCCTCAAAAAGACAGCTTAGGAAAACAACATGTAGGTTTTTTTTTTCCTAGCCAATTCAGTTCTATTTAGATAAATCTGGTTACCAATCAATACATATATAAATTAATTCCTTTCTACTCAATTACTACCATTTTTTTCTTTTTCACCTTTCCCCTAACTTCCTGTAGCAACACTTTTCCTTTGGTTTGATCAGCTGAACTCAAAAGGTTTGGTACCTAAAATGAGTATCAACTCTTATTGGAATAGCACTTGGGAAATGCAGTCCTAGAAAAGGCAAATGTTTAACTGAGGGCTTGACAACGTTAAGCGTCCATTCTCCGTATGACAGTGTCTCCCATGTTCATCACTAGGTTAATGGCTGCTCTTGGCTAGATCACATGACCCTGCAGAATACTGGAATGCTCCCTGGCGAGGTACTACAGGTGCGTGCACAAACATCCACCCATTTAAGCTTTTAATAAATACAAAGCATCCTTTTAAACAATTTCAGTAGAATAAATTAAAAATATTGCATTTCTATTGGCCTGCTTTGCTTCTTGAGCTGGCTTGGAGTGTTGTTCATGACACAGAAGACACAAGAGTTAGTTACTGGCTACTCCAAGCTCTTTAAGCTTCAGCACTTCTCGCTCTTCAAGCCTCAGCACCTTTTTTGCAGCAATAATGGTATTCTTCATTAGCATTGCCACTGTCATGGGGCCAACACCTCCAGGAACTGGAGTGATATAACCAGCTTTTTGTCTGACTCCTACATAGAAACAAGACAGGTAGCCTGCTTCAATGATGGCAAAGGACATGTGTGTACTTTATTACGAAAGAAGCATGCAAGGGAAAAGTAACATACATAAGTATAAAACTATAAAACTCAACAAATCACATCTACATCATTCAAGGTTTTGTGAAAACACTAGTAAAATAATATGCACATACAGAATCGTTCAAGGAATATTTATACATCTAAGTAACCTATAAAGAAACCTCTTAAAGAAACATACCTACTAGGTTAACTGTGTGGGAGCTGTTAGTATAATAATAATAAGCATTACCTCAATACCTGCCTACAGCATTTTCTTAATCTTAAGTATAATTTGTCCAAAGCATCAAGCATAGTAATTTTAATTGAGAAGTTAAAAAAAAATTAACGTCAAAAAAAAGTTAAAGTGAAAATCCTTAAATAGCTAGGCATGCGTTTGGCTGCTTTAATAAAAACAGAAGCTAGGAACAGGATTATTCATGCCTGTAATCCCAGCACTTTGGGAGTCTGGGGTGGAGGGTGGGTGGGGAAGATTGCTTGAGGCCAGGAGTTTGAAACCAGCCTGAGCAACATGGTAAAACTCCATCTCTACAAAAAATACAATAATTAGCCATTAGTCCCAGCTACTCAGTAGGAGGCTGAGGCAGGAGAACTGCTTAAGCCCAGGAGGCAGAGGTTGCAGTGAGCTGAGATCATGCTACTCTACTCCAGCCTGGGCAACAGAGAGAGACCCTGTCTCAAAAAAGAAAAAAAGAGAAAGAGAAAGGATTATTAGCATAAAACTCAGATAAACATTCTATCTTAAGAACTGAAAGGAGAGGCTGAAGCAGGCAGGCGTATCACTTGAGGCCAGGAGTTTGAGACCAACCTGGCCAACATAGCCGAACTCATCTCTACTAAAAATACAAAAAATTAGCCGGGCATGGTGGCACATGCCTATAATCCCAGCTACTCAGGTGGCTAAGGCAGGAGAATCACTTGAACCTGGAAGGCGGAGGCTGCAGTGAGCAGAGATCATACCATGCCATTGCACTACCACCTGGGCAACAGAGTGAGACTCTGCCTCTGAAAAAAAAAAGAACTGAGAAGAGAAATCTATTCCAATTATTTCAGGGATATGGCTTTTTCCTGGGCCATTTTAA